AGCGCCGCAGCCCAGCGAAGAAGCCTGTAGCCTAGTGTTAGTCTTGCAGCCAACAGTCAGCTAATTGTTTCCATAACTCATCCATTTCAGTGCCAAAGCGATTGTACGACATCAACGATGCGGATGCGGAGAGCAAGGCGGCCACGCTGGAGCAGCTGTGCATCAAGGACGAGGATGCCTGGTGGAACCAAGTGCCATTGACCAACTTGGATTTGAGCTCCAATGCTTTGACGAAACTATCCCCAAAGATTGAGAATCTGCAGTCGCTGACCGTGTTGATTGTATGTGCAGCAAGCCTTCAGGCTGACTTTTCCTTAAACTAATCCAACTCTCGCTCTCCCTTAGCTCCATGACAACGCCCTAGCATCGCTGCCGCCGGAGATTGGCAAGCTGGAGAAGCTCATGCGCCTGAATGTGAGTCGCAACAAGCTCAGCGACTTGCCCAGGGAGCTGTACAGTCTGCCTGAGCTGCGGCATTTGAATCTCAGCTACAATCAGTTCAACGAACTCAATCCGGACATCAGCGATCTGCACATGCTGGAGTTTCTGGTGAGTGTGGAGCTCCCTCCCCCTTTGCCTTAAACCCGGTTGTGGTGTCTTATTAATCTGTAATCCCCCCCAATCCCCCCTCTAACTCCGCTTGTTAACCAAAATTCTAAACCTAAAAGGATGCTGGGCATAATAACATACAATCCCTGCCTGGCGGTATTGGTTTTCTGGTGCGCTTAACCGCCCTCTTGTTGCCCCATAATCACATTAAGGATTTGCCTCCTGATCTGGTTAACATGCGCTGTAAGTGCCTCACTAAGAGTGCCCCCGTCCTGCCATTAACCCTTGATCTCGTCCCCCCTCGAAGCTTTGCAAAGGGTGGACCTCATGCAGAACGACCTCACCTGCTTGCCCGAGGACATGGGCCTGCTCAGGAAGCTGCAGTTTCTGTACATCCAACATAACGATATCCTGGAACTGTCCGACTTTGAGGGCAACGAAGCCTTGACCGAACTGCATGCCAGCAATAATTATATAGAGGTAAGAAGACTGCGGGAAGGTTCATGCATAAACGCTCTATAACAAATCCTCTCCCCGCAGAAGATACCCATCAGGATGTGTGAGAACTTGCCACACCTCAAGGTACTCGATCTGCGCGACAATAAGATATCAGAGCTGCCCGATGAGCTGTGTCTGCTGCGTAATCTCAACCGCTTGGATGTCTCTAACAACAGCATCGACACGCTGCCCGTCAGTCTGTCCTCGCTGGCTCATTTGATTAGTCTGCAGGTGGAGGGTAATCCCATCAAGTCGATTCGTCGTGACATCCTGCAGTGCGGCACATCGCGCATACTGAAGACGCTGCAAGAGCGTTCGCTGGCCAAGAGCAAGGAGGAGGGTGGCTCCACCGATGGTGCTGCTGGAGCGCGTCTCTGTGGCGGAGAATCTGGCGCCGCAGCAAGCAACACAGCCGCAAATTATCCCGACAGGTATGTGCAGCAGATTATGCTCAGCATTTCAGAGCAGCAAACTCATCTACGCCGCAGCAGCAGGGACAGCTATCAGCAAGAGCAGCAGCCACAAGAACAGCCTCAGCAGCAGCACTTTCCATGTCAGTGTCAATATCAGTGCCAGTCACAAATGCAAATGGAGGACCCACGCTCTTGTGTCTATGTGCAGCCGCGCAGCTATTCGCAGTACCAATCAGTGGACTATGAACAAGAGCAAAGCATGGACCCCTCTGGCCAATATATGCAACAGCAACAGCAAGAGTTTCCAACGTTCAATGGCTTTGGTGGCATGTTTCCGCAGCAGCAGCAAATATTCTATGGCCAAAACGGGTCCAACTTCAATCAGAGCAGCTCAAACTTCAATCAGTGCGCCGTCTGTCCGCGTTGGGTGTAGCGTATCACAAAGTTCCAAGTCACATTGTTAACATTAAGCCCAAAACGCATCGCAAAAGATAATAACTTGAGCCTCTTCTCTCTCCCGCAGATACAAACTGCGTCACACGCGCACTTTGGCTGTCAATTTGGAGGAACTAACCGATGTGCCCGATGAAGTCTTTCAATTGGCACAGGCAGAGGGTGTGCATGTGGTGGACTTTGCGCGGAATAACCTGAGAACGTTGCCAAAAGGGTGGGCTACCACAGCAACCCCATGTTGAATGTTTCTTTAACGAATTTATCTGTCTTCCTGTGCAGCTTGCAGCACATGCAGCAACTCGTCACGGAACTGGTGCTCGCCCACAATCTCATTGCCCAAGTGCCGCAGTTTATTTCACAGTTTACGCGCATTTCGTTACTGAATTTATCCAACAATCTGCTGACTGACTTGCCCAAGGAGTTTGGTGTGCTGAACACGCTGCGTGAGCTGAACATAGCCAACAATCGGTGGGTGCCATGAGCAACACTTTAATTATAAATAATTACAAGCCTCTGTCTTCGTTTCCCTTACAGCTTTGCGTTTATTCCCAACGGCTTGTACGATTTGCAGGGTCTGGAGATACTCATTGCTAGCGATAATCACATCAAGGAGTTGAATGTCTCGGGACTAAAGTGCATGCCGCGCTTGTCCACTTTGGATTTGCGCAACAATGACATTGATTTCATACCGCCCATTTTGGGTACACTGACCAACATAACGTAAGAACAAGAGCTGAAAAATAATTATAGAAATTTAATTCGTTTTCCTTACAGCCACTTGGAGCTGGTGGGCAATCCATTTCGCCAGCCACGTCATCAAATCCTAATGAAGGGCACCGAATCAATTATGTCGTATCTGCGGGATCGCGTGCCCAGATAGAGGCACAATTTCGCAATTTACTTTCTTTTATTTAAGCCAATTTCGACACTTGTACATTTGTTTTTGTTTTGGTACAAGTTCTATAACCCTGATAACTCTCTACTACAAGGCTCTACCACGCCCACACACAGCCATGCTGTCAGCTTAAGCCTCTGCCTGTGTGTGGACGTGGCGGAGATCGCGCAAGGAAGGTACCTTATAACACATAGCAAATATCCCCCGCAGCTACCAACTATCAACTGAACTAGTCAGCGTTTGGCCAGGCACAACGCACACTCCCTGTTAAATTCTGTTCTAAAATTAGCAATACAAATTACAAAATCAATTAAAAATTATAGAAAAAAAGCAATGCCAAGTCCATATATTTTTAAACAATTTATACCTCAATTATGTAATTATTTAGTGACGAGCAAAGGGAACGAATAGTTATAGTGAAGAAAGGGCAAGCTGCAAGGTAACTTAGACCTAAGATATTTTAAATTTAATCTAAAAACAAAACGTTTCCCGCTTAATTGTGCTCCACAACTTCACTGCGCAGTCGTTTGGCCAGTGTGCGGCGCAGCTGGAGTGCTGAATTCTCCTCGCTCTCCGGCGGTGCAGAGAGCTCCATGGTCTTGCCACCGTTCTCGAGCAGCTGCTGTGCCACTTGTGCGCTGCTGGGACGTGCACCCTCGGCGCCCTGCGGACTGCCACGGGCCAGTGTCTCCTGCAGCTGCTTGGCGCGTGCCTGCTTCTTGATTTCCACGATTTTATCGCGCTGCTGACGCAGATACTCCTGACGCGATGTCACATCGGTGGGATCCACCCTGTCCTCCTGCTCGAAGAACAAATTCAAGCGCTGAAACTTGTCGTTGACTAGGTCCAAGCTGGCCTCCTGGTCGGGCGTCAAGGCAGCCTCGGGACTCTCCAGCTCATCGGCCACAGTTTTGGCAATGAGTTGATCCACGTCAACGGCGGCATCGCTGTTGGTACAAAAATCATCAGAAGGGGAGCATAAATATTCACATTTGATCTGCCCACCCCTGATCGGAGCCTGTGGCGCTGTTGCTGTCACCCTCATCCACGGAATTTTGTGCCAATTGATTTTTCTCTATCAAATCCAAGGCCTGCAGCTGCAGCTCCACATTGCGTTGCGTCATCATGCGTATGAAGATTTTTACATCATTGGCGGCCCATATCTAGAGACGATTATCATTAGCAGAACGCTGGGAAGAGGCTGCTCTTGGGCGTACCTGTTGGAACAGCACCTGATGGAACTGAAAGGGATTCTCGCCCTGGCCCTGCTGACGACCCTCCAGGCAGGCCAGCTCGAATTGCTCTGGGGATATTTGCATTTCCTCCATGAAGCTGCCGAGCATGTAGTCGACGAGGTTCTTGTATTCCTCGTGAATCTGTAGGATTTCCTCATTGTGCTCGTCCAACTGCAGATTGGGATCGAAGACTGCACCAAGAGGGGGTTAGGCTTCGGGTTAGGAGATGACGTGGCCCTACTGTTAGTCTCACCCAAAGATCTCTGCTCGATGAAGGTCTGCAGCGGTGCATTCCACACGGGTCCATGGAGGAAGCAAACCAACGAATCAAAAACCCAAGAATCTTCAACGGACATGTTTGATGCAACTTCTTCAGATAATCCCCAATGCCGTAATGCGAAAAGTTCAGGCTGTAAACATTTGTTTGGTCCTTGAAAGGACATTGCGTTGTCCTGACAACACCCAATACCCGAGGGAACCCAACAACCTCAAGGGTTGTACAGACAATAAAAAACGCTTGGCAGAGCTTCGACGCATGTTTTTTTTCTGTTTAAAAACTATTAAAAACTATTATTTAATTTACTCATAATCATAATATAGTTTATATATATCGTTTATGTTTAAACAACTAAATAAAGTATCCAAATTATATATATGTAATGGGTATGTGTGGGTGTACGTGTACGTGTGTGTGTTAGGTTTAGGGATTAGACGACAGCATATCATATATAGTACATACATATATAAATACTATGTATAAACTATAGTGTTTGTTTTGCTTGTATTAATTTCGCTTCTTATTATTTTATTTTATGTTTTCTTTCCGTTTTTTCTTTATTATTTATTCTCTATGCGCTTGTGTTTTTTGTATTTTTTTGTGTTGCAGTTCAATCAATCAATCAAATAAAACCAACAACTTGGAAGGACAATACATACATATATGTATCTCTGCATCTGTATCTCTTCATCTGTACAGCTACATTTGATAGGCATGCAATTAGTGTCTGTGGTGTGGTGTGGTGTGGTGTTACGATCGCTTGGTTGCTCCAGGGGAAACCGTTTATGCTGTGAGAGTTGGATTTTTTGGGTTTCTTTTCTTAGTTCGATTTAACACTAAAATAAATAAAAAGTAGTACAGTACGCACACGCACATGGCAGATACGATTATTAACAAATAACTTTATTACACTTCCGCTGGCGATCTCAAGGGCGAAACGTCAGTCAAGTGTCTGTGTGGGATATGGTGAGTGGAGCTGGGGTTCTGGGGTTATGCGCCGCCTCCCCACTGCCTTCGTTTTAATACAAATTATGTTTTACTTTTTGTATATTTAATATGAAAAGAACTTACATGGAAAACGTAAGAAGACTATTTTATTTTGTATTTTATTGTTATTTGTTTTTGTTTGTTTGTTTCCCCCCACTTTTATAATTTACTTTCTATTTGTAATCATTATAATTAGTTACTTTTTTTCTTGCTTTGCTGTAAATGATGTGTGTGTGTTTATGTGTGTGTGTGTGTGTGTGTGTATGGTTCGATAATGGTTCAAAGGTAACGCAACAATTGATTAATTACACAGTCAGACAAACGCTCCTTTCCTGCCTTCCAATCTCTCAATCTGCACGAAACCATCCTCATCAATAGCTTGGTCCTTAACTGCTGCTAACTGTTACGGTCGCGAGTGGTGCAAGTAGAACAATTGTCGTCTAATTCGATTTAGAGGCTGACTAAATTATATACAAGGTTCATTGGATCAGAATGTATTGGATCGATCGATAATCCTCTCCAAATGTGTGTAATATTAACTGAAGGTGTGAACAGAAATTGTCAAGCTAGCCGGGCAGCACACTTGCTGGTATTTACAAAACAATTGCGCACTGTGCGGGGGGGAAATAGTCTAAATCGGAATATATATTTAATTTTGCTGCTTTTAAATTTACAATCATCCTGCTTGAAAACATTACAGCGCTGTCTACAAGATCTGTGTGTGGCTCGTAAGTACAAGCTCAATGAGATAAGCCTCTGGGCGGGCCTGAACCTTGCGCACAATAGTTGTTGACAGTCAACGCTTTAATATACAATTTTATAAAACCTCGATGGGCAGTAAGCCCATCTGTCAGTTAGTTGAAAATTAACTCTTAAACATAACTAAGGTATAGGCAACTTACATATCGCAATTGTCTTTAAAATACCACAAATAATAAACCAAATATTGCACAAAATTGTTACGTTTCTTTACAACATTCCAGCCGCTAGCCAGCAGCCAACTTGACAGGATCTGTTAGGGGATTCTGCGCTAAAACTAACCACTCACAAAATCCTCAACCTCATTCTGCACGCGAGCTTGGGTGTCTGTGTCTGTGTGTGTTGCAAGTGTCTGTGTTTTACTACTAAATACATGTTTATTTTGGTTTCTTCGTTAATGCTTTTTCCGAACTTTTTTCAAAAACAAAACGCACACAACAGAGAGCATGGTTGAAATTGCTTACAAGGTGATGTCTGCACCACACTGTATCCCTTTCTAGCGCTTGAATTAGTTAGTGATCCTCGCACAGTCACCTTGTAAATAATTTCACCATGACAGAGAGCACGTAGCATTTTGCTGTAGGGGATCTAACTGCCTGGATCGCTCGCTGATCGTTAATCGGTTGATCGGTAATGTGCGCGGCTGGACACACATACATATAGTTAATTATATTTTCATATGCATATATATTTGAATATATATGTATATATATTTCGTATATATATATATATATATATATATATATATATGTTTATATATATATATATTCTTGTTTTGTTTTGTTTTTGTTTTAGTTATTAATTTAGTAAAGTAAGATTTATAATTTCTTGTTTTACTTTTAGGTGTTCGCTTTCCTTTAAAATAAATTTTTTATGCTAAAATTTAACTTTATGTTTTCTTGTTCGATCTTACATCGTACCGCCATCTCCCGTCCTCCGTCTCCCGTCTGCTGCTGTGCCTGTGCCTGTGGTTTGCCGCAAAATGCATTAACAAGCTGGTTGGTTGACCACTGACCATCGACGTTCTCCTCCTGTTCGGATAGGCTCGACTCTCTCGGCAACTCCTCCTCCTTCCCTACGTTCCGTTCGTTGGTGTTGGTGTGTTAGTGTGTGGGTGTGGGTTATGTGTGTACTAATTTATAATTGATGCCGCCCTGCTGCTCCACATCTGTCAACTATGCCAGACGCGCGCGCTTTTGTGCTTGTGGCCCATCAGAGTCGTCCTCATCATCCTCGTCATCATCCTCACCGGAGTCGCTCTCATAATCGACCAGGCCCTGTAAGAAACGAATAGAAAATGTTACAATAACTACCATACAAATTTTCTCATCTATTTTATTTACCTTCTTGGTCGTCGACTTGTCCGTTTCGCTGTTCGCCGAGTCTGTGCTTGCGTCAATGCTGGATGCCACCAATTCTTTCTCCGCCACAGCCGACTGGACGAGAAGGCCATCGAGCTCGCTGGTGGTGCCCGGAGGCGGCTGTGAGTCGACGGGCTCGATATCGGGATCGGCCACAGTCGGAGCTGGAGCCAGATTTGGGGCAGCCGATGTTGCTGCCGCTGTCACGGACGCGGCGATAGCGATCGTTAAAAACTGACTGGCCACAACCTGAGCTACTGTCGCCGAATCGCAATGAGAAGCGGCTGCCGACGTACTCGGCGGTGACGATGAGGATGAGGACGATGACGCCGAAGATGACGTGGACGCTTCAAGCGATGATGATGATGCCGATGACGACGACGACGATGATGAAGAGGCGTTATCTGTGGGCGATGTCGAAAGCACCAACTCTTGATTCTGCGGCGTCTCGACACCGCTCAGCTGCTGGTGCAGTTCTGCGATCTCAGGCTGTGTCTGCTGTTGCTGGAATGGGTTCTGCTGCTGCTGTTGTTGCTGCTGCTGCTGTTGCTGGTGATGCTGCAGTGCAATATTGGCAGCCGCGGCCAGATGCACTGCAGCCTGGGCCTGGTCATCGACAATGCCCGCCTCTGGGCTGCTGCTTCCACTTGCCACGGGTGCACCGGCTGCTGATGCTGATGTGGCAGTGGCAGTTGCTGTGGCTGTGGCAGTGGCAGTCGCTGTGGAATTCAGACCCCCCAGTAGACCGCTGTGGGGTGACGTACTGTGCGGCGGAGAAGACTTCTGCTGCGGTGATTGGTTTTGCGGGCCATTCTTTTCGCTGACGGCTGCAAAAATGTATCAGAAGATGTTTTATTTAACACACAAGAATATTTTTAAGGTCTCTTACATTTGATGACATTGTTGTATGTGTCGATTTCCTCGGTGAAATCATCCTCTTCATTGAACCACATCTCTTCCTCCTCTTCCATTTGACGCTGATCCCGACGAAACCGTCCACCACTGCGTATGATCGGCAGGCCACTGTACAAACCCCACAGAAAATTAGTTAAATAAACCTTGAGGACGGAAACAACAGCGAATAGACCTACCCATCTGTGCGGTTTTCCATCTTGTCGCGATCCTTCAGTCGATCCTGGTACTGATCGTAGCGATTCTTTAAATATTTGAATGTCTGCACATATTCGATTTCATCAAATATTTTGCTAAAGTTCTCCACAAAATAAACACACAGCGTGCGTATATCCTCGAGTTTTATAAACTCAAACAACTCCAGAATGGCCGATTCCAAGAGATTGTAGCGGCCATTGTTACGAATAAAGGCATCCACAACCGGCGCAAAAAGATTGCACTTGACAATGTGTCTGTATCGTAAAAGAAGAACGAATAAATACCTTAATTATACATCTATATCACCCTTTAATTACCTGTTGTAAAACTCATCTTTGAGTGCAATTATCTTGCGCAGCAGCCGCAGTGCGCCGAGTACAAGGAACGTGTGTGAGCTCTTCATCAGCACCAGAATTTTCTTGAGGAGATCCTTTTGCAATAAGAAATTCTTAATGTGATAGCTATGGTGCTCCACGCAGAACGACAAAATATCCAAAACAATGCCAAGCAGCTGTGCAGTCTGATAATCTTCGTTTTGCGGACGGTCACCCAGCGTGTTGACAATTAGCGGAGCTGCAGAAAAGGAAAGTTGTAACCTTGGAAAGTGGGGACCGCACTCTACGACTCTTACCAACTAAAGTCTGAACACTGTATTTGTAGAAGAAATTGAGAAAATCTCCCTTCTCGGTGAGCATGTTCTCCGGCTCAAGCAGAATCTTAACAATGCCCATCAGCTGCACCGCAATGCCCAGCTCCGGCTCCGAGTCATTCAACATTTGTTCGATGGCAATGTTCAGCAGCATGCGCTCCTATATACAGAAAATATTATAAATCTATGGGGTAAGACCTGCTTTTTCTGTTGAAAACTTACGCCCTCTGGCCGGTTGACCTGATTCAGCGTGTAGTTGCGCACAACCAGCGGCGAGAACTCTACAATTGCCGTGAGTATGTCAATGGAGGCCGACTTGGTTTTCTTATCGTTCATGACCAGCGTCAGCTCCAGCGCCTGCAATATGCCCAGGCAGGTGAGCGTCTTGTAGAACGAATCCTTGCCCTGGGGCTGCAAGTTTTGAGCAAAGTTGCAGAACTCCTTCAAAAAGAGGACCGTGTCGCGTCGCTTGGTGTCGCCAATGGCCGTATCTGTGAGCACAGCGAAAACGTCGAGCAGGAATCGCTCGTCGTCCTGAATCATTGTGACAATCTCCACCTTGTTGAAGAATATAAAGCTGGAGAGCGTGTTCAGCATGTTGTCCTCGACGAAAACCGACGGCGTGGGCAGAATGATGTCCTGTATGTACTGCACACGAAACGTTTGATGGATTTTGGCCAGCAGGTCTTGGTTCTTGATGGGAACAGCCTCACGGAACTTTGCCCACTGCTTCAAGTACTGGCGATGCTTCTTCGGCTGGGCCACACTGGGATCGTACTCGAGACAGCCGACCACATCGAAAATTGTGTCATCGGCGAACATAATCTCGAAGAGGGCATTCTTGTTCAGCAAGAAGATATTCTTGAATATTTCGAACAGATGATGCAGCCCCTCGGTGTTGTCGAGATCCTCGCACACATGGAACAGATTCAGCAGCTTCTTGATGTAGTTCTCCGACTCCAGGGCCATCGATAGCTTCTCCTTGCGCAGCGGCGTGGAGAGACAGCTCTGAATGGTCTCCGATATGTCCTCGAGCCGTGATAGCTCGCACGGAGGCAGCTCGATGGGTGGCGCTGTGTCCGACATGTCCTCAAAGCGTTCATCCTCCGACTCTTCCACAATATCCTGTGTAATCTCAACGGAAGGATCTTTGCCCTGGACCTGCAGCAGTTTACAGTAGAACAAAGAACGCATGACAAATGCAATCACATTGAAGCAGAGAAAGAAGCGGCAGCCACACATTTTGCTCTCTCGATTTCTCATTACAACTAACCTGACATATTTTCTCCCAAATCTCATCGCAACCAGCCTTTTCCTGAAAACTCAGTGCCAGATCGAAATTGTCGCCCTCGGACCACACAATCAACGTGTCCTGCTGTTTTTGGTATGCGGTATCCGGTTGTATTTTGCTCTCCAACAGCAGCGATCCATCCGATTCGGCGCGCACCAGCAGCGAGATACCTGCAAGATCGTTTGGGGAGAAAACGGCGGCACTTAGCTTAGCCCATGGCCCCTACAGTACACAATTTAAGCTAAATACTTACCTTTCAAACGATCGACGTATGTCGAGGAGACATGTCCCGTGCCACGATCATCCCACTGCCGCTCCGCATTCAGTGCGTACAACTTGACGCGTCGGCGGGTATCCGTAGTCATGATTAATCCTTTGGGGTTTTCCTTTCTTGGTTTTCAATATACCCGTTCGTGGCTTTTGTGGCGCTGTTGGGCGTTTTCTTGGTTGTTCTTTCTTGATTTTTTTGTACCACGTTGTGGCTTGGAACCACAGAAGTTATGGGCTTAGGCTAGGCTACGGCTACTAGGCTAAATTAAATTAGGATTTTTGAATTTAAAATTCAAAGGATTCGGCTAATCTCTACGCTTGACTTGTACATCCATGTTATGCTGATAATTCAGCGCCGGCTGGGTGGGTGGTATCCTGTTCCGGTCCGGTTGTACACAATGCCACGCTGCAGTATAAAATCAGATGTGGGTTATTAATAAATGAAACAAATAAAGATTATCCCCATTCAATACGCTTGAAGTGACGTCATTCTGTTGCACGTCTTTGAGGGAACGTTGCACGAATCTCTGAATCTTTGGCATATTTGAAATGAAATCTCGCGAAAACTTCAAAAATGTATGAATGAAATGTGAAAGCGTCTGTCGTGCCTGCGTGCCTCGTCATGCATGTATCTGTGTATGGGTGCATTTCAGCAAGATAGATGAGAAATACAAAAAAAAACACAAAAGAAAATTGTACTTTTGCCCGGTCTGTTTACAAACATTAAACGCTTTTCATTAGATCTCTCCACGACAGCAGCAGAGGCAGAGGCAGCAGCAGCAGCACTCTCCACATTCTCCGCTCTTTCCCAGCGGCAGACTGTGTGTGGGGGGTGGGGGCAGCAGGCGCTTTCGCCCCACGGCCAGCGGCAGCGGCGAGGCAAACACGCGCGCGACGAAAACAAACAGGCGGCGAGAGTGCGAGTGAGAGAGTCGTCGTTAAGTGGGTGGCATGGCATCCACCCAGTATTAGACTATCGCACAGACACGGCGAAAATCAATGAAAGCAAAGTGTAAAATAATGTGTGTATAAACAGAATGAAAAAACGAGCGAAAACTACGTCATCGATGCGGAAGTTTGTGTGTGTGTGAGTGTACCGTTGTGGATACCACACATCACATACAAATTTGCGTCACCCCAGATCACTACTCATCAATATGAAACCTTTACCTGACCCCCCCGCCCGCATTAGCAACATCAAGGTTGAGTGTTGAAATAAATGCGTGTTGCGCCGCCTCTAACACGATTTGCACAGCGATTACGCCGGACAGATACGAAACGGTATACGATTTATATGGAATACACGCTGCATAGTGTACTTGTTCCAACGAAGCGCCATAGGCCAATTCCGTGCTGATAAGACGAGCTACCGAGTCTAGAGAGCGGCTGGCGAAGTTGTACCAAAACAAACCCAGCGAGGCAATTCAAAACAAATGCTGAGATAGAGGTTTACGCAATCAGCTGCACACAAAAAAATATATGTTTGGCTAGTGGGGTTATTAATAAACGGCAGTTGGACGATTTGAACGCCTGCCAAAAAACGAGGCGGCTCGCGAGCCTGGAGTCATTGATAAAAGAGTGAGAAATGGCCAGAATGACAACTCTGCTAAGCTTTATTGCCCAGCAACAAAAGAGAACAAGAAGATAACTGAGGGGGGGACTCTGAACACACACACACACACACTCATAGAGCACATGAATCTACGAAAGCTGCAATTGGCTGTGTATGCGTTTGAAGAAAGTAAGAAAAGGAAATTCGAAGAAAAGATAAGCATAAAAAACGAAAGGATGCAGGACACAATTTGGGGGAACGAACGCGTCTGTTTCTTTCGGTTCCGCTTTGTGCGAGCGAATTCTCGCTCTTGCTCGTTCGCTCCACACAATGAATGGCACAGTGCGGAAAAGGGCTGGGCGAGGAGAGGAGAATGGGGGAGAAGGAGCCTGTTTAACGGCAGCCGTTACGAACGCGTCGTATCTTGTTTTGCATGCATGGCAATGTGTGCAGAATACGCGCGCGCTAATGCTCCACACATTCGCAAAATGCGCGTGAGTGTGTGTCTGTTCCTGTATGCACATTTTGGGGTGGTATTGGGTCGGGACAGGGACGGGGACGGTTCGTGGCAAGAATACGAAAATTCACAAATAATTACTACACGCTGTCCCGTTCTGGCCCAAATGCAATGTCAGCATATTTCCATTATTTCTTTTTTAATTTCTGTATTTTCATATGCTATACACACACAAACTTCACGTTCACTCAATCACGAACACACAACACACTCACACACATGCACCGTCTAGCAAGTACATCGGTTTTTTGGCCGTCTCCTTTGCGGTTCATTCAATGAAATTATTGCGAATGGCAGGCACAAAACAGAATCGCAAACATTGCAGCGTATTTCATCGACGAAGAAGAAGCGAGAGATACAAGAAAAAAAATGCCGTCTTCCCCCAAATCAACACACGGGACACACACACCTACCCCGTAATATCTTCTGACGCATCCAATTCTTCTCAACGGATAGTGTTTTGATTTCACAATGCAGCGCATTTTAAGTGTACACCGTTGCCCCGATATTCGCAAATTTTGGATTTAATTGAAACGCACACGAAAACGTAAGAAAAACATCGGGTACACACCACAGGCGCACACACTGGCAAACGAAAAACTCACCTCAATTCAACACACTACAGAGCGAAACTCAACACACGGCGACGTTTGCGTTGTTGCATAAATTTTGACAAAAAAATAGCAATGAAATTACCTCCAAATGTGCAATACTCCGTGGACAGCAACAAGCCGGGCCACTGGCAAAGGGTCTTGGCAGGATATTTTCAAATTTTGCTGTCGGGCAAGGCCGCAATCATACCCGGAGTACGTGAGAGAACGAATCATGTACACACACACACTCGAGAAATACACTCTACACTCGCATTCAATCACACACACACAATCGCACACATGGGCAGAGACACGCTCAGACAACACAGAAGCCGCAAGAGGACAAGAACAGGAGAGCGGCGCGAGGGGGTATATTGAATCTTTTCCAAAAAAGTCTTACACTCACGCTGCAATTGCTTGTTTCTGCCTTTGTTTTTTGTTGTCTGCGCTTGTTCGCATTAGTTCAGCTTTGATCAAATTTACGTTTGCGCATATTTATTATTTACCACGCGCTTTGTAACAATTACAATGTATATTTTTACAATTTTTCAACCGACGCTCGAGCGTTGGCTGACCCGACGACGAAATTTTTGTGCTGTGTGTGCGAGAGAGAGGCCGTAGACGCCATATTGTTTTTCGTCCGAATTAGTGTGCAATAAAGAAAAAACCATCGATATACATGAATTTTTTTAATCGCCATAAGAAACGAAAAATAAAAAAGATGTATGGGTTTAATGTTATAGTTTATTCCAATACTTTAAGTTCAGTTTTGTAAAAAGATTTTTATTGAATAATTGTCTGAAGACTGTATATAATTCTTAATTGTTGAGGATGATGCGCGAAGTGTTGAGCAGCGATTGCATTGGCGATATTTAAAACACGCATACACCGATACTTTTTATAAACAATAACAAACAATAATAAATGGAACCGGAATTGACGAGGAAGCGTTTTTACAGCCTGGGTGCTAAATACGCCGGCTCCACAGAGGAGGATCTGGAAGTGTGCATCAAAAACTATGGAGGGGACGTGGTGCGAATAGAACTGGTGAATCGCCTGCATGGGGCTCAGTGCCAAAGGCAGCTGCGCCGGTTTTTGCTACTTCTCTCCGCATCGACCGTCTACTTCATCAGCGTGTGGCGTCTCGGGGACAACTTCATTAGCATTTGGCAGCCACGCATCCTGTATCCCATTATCATTGTTGCAACTCTTGCGATTGTCATTATTCGCACCGCCCTGGCCCTGGTGAAAACGGAGAAATTGTTTTACAGTTGGGACATGGCCCTGCAAACGGAGACGGTGCGATCCTTTGGCCGGGAGTCGGTCTTTTGTGTGCAGCGTGGACACATTCATGACATAGTGCTCAATGAAGTGATTGAAAATGTGAGCAAATCATTGCTTAGCTTATATTGATTTCTAATCGACTTTAATCCCATTGCAGTTGGATGTTAAGTACATGCTAATCCTGCGTACCAGAGGCAGCATGTTCAAGAAACGACCCATAATACCATTGTTCCATGTGAGTCGTGCGCTTCCATTCCTTTTTTCCCCATCAGTATGTATCCTTATTGCTATTGCAGAGCCAGTCGCCCTCGTTCGAATGCTTGCAGCATATCTACCGAATCCTGCATCGACACTGGCTGAATAGCGACAAGGATCGGTCGGAGCACGCCTACAATAAAGACGCGCCCGTCAGTGTGGCCTCGCAGAGCTCTTCCAATTTGTGAAGCTGTTAATGTTAATGTTTATTAAATATAGCGAGTCGTTTAGTGTACTTTGTAGTTTTCTTACATCTGGCATGGGCGTGTAATCCTCCTGCGGGACAGGATCTTCCAGTTGGGGTATGTCCAGCTCAACATCCAGTATCTTGCATTCTCCGTTTAACTAAAAGCACAAATGTGATTATATTTAAAGTCCCAATTGAGAGTATGTGGCGGGAATCTACCAAATTGCGTATCTCTGTTGTATAGGACTTTTTGATGATTTTGCGATACATTTCCAAGTAACAGGCGGTGGTCCTATTCCAATTCTCTTGCGCTTGTCGCAAGCTGAGTACTTGTTGTAGGGATAATTCTGCAAGTATTTAGTTGTATTACTGATTTTAATTGTTAAAATCTATTGATTCTCACCCATGGCGTCTCTGATCGGCGTCGTTTGTTTTGAAAATCGCTAAATCTTAGTGGTGCTGCAAAACGAAAAAAAAGTATCGATAATTCAATAAGTGTTTGAAACTGACAAACAGGATATTTTAATGTCGATATGGAATTCTAGGTGTATTTTAGTATATTTCGGTATATTTGTAATGGTCATCATCCGGTATACTTGCTCGATTAATCCACGGTCACACGGCTGACGTAATTTGGCAAAAACAATAACAACAACAACAAAAATTTGTTTATTTGCACTCCCCCGCCCCGCCCAACAACCCGAGTAGGATTACACCTACTTCGATGTCTGTTGTCCACGTCCAGCACACGAAACTGATAGCTGTCACAGCCTGTTAGCCCATCCACAAACTGTGTCCACAGCCTGCAAATGTGAATCAGCTGCGCTGCTCGCTGATTCGTCTACTGCGTCAAATTTAAGTAAGTTCCCCGCCCAAAATAGACAAACAGGCGTGACCGCCTCATATGGGCATTGCGTAGTGGCCTTGCATGGACTAATAGGCGTATTTTTTTCCAGTTTCCAGTTCCTTCCTGATTGTAAACCCGCCTCTGAATGAACCGCTCTGAGCCCATACCCATACGACGCGAACGATCCTTCGACAGCGTTATGAATCGCCTGTTCCGTACACGCTCCCAGAACCATGAGAGCTTTCGTGCGGCAATGTACAACTTTCTGTTCGTGTTGGGCGTGTGCGCCTTTGTGGCGGTGTGCTTCATCCTCGGACCATTTGTGCGCCCGCTGCTGTGGGCCTTCCTCATGGGCGCCGTGCTCTTTCCGTTCAAGCGTCGGCTAGCGGAGAGCGTGCACAGCTGGTTCCAGCGGCTGGAGGAGCGCGATTCCAATGTGCTGGTCTCAATATTTCTATCCCCCGTGGAGGCGACGGAGCACTGCGGCCGTTTGCTAATCGGTTGGCTCTGCGAACACTGGCAACTGCTACTGGCCGGCTGCGGTGTGGCAAGTTGCATCAAGCTGTTGGTGCTGTATGCGCCCAAGGGCTTCATCTATGCCATCTGGCACTGGCTCACCTTCTCGCATGGTCTGTTTGTGCGCGTTATTGGCTTCCTCAATGTCTTTGTGGTGGGTTTGTGCTCGAAATTTCCACAGCAGCTGCAGCTTTAACTTTCCCTCTTCCAGATTATCGCGCTTGTGCTGGTCTACCTTAGCTGTGTGCACTTCTTTTGGAGCCCGGAAAACAGCACTCACTTTGTCGTCGCTGGACAGTCCATGTGGATCGCGATAGCCGGCTACTTGAGCAGCTTTCTGGGCGCCCTGCAAGTGCCCGTCTTCCTGCTGGTCATGGCGTACGTGACGGCCTCCACGGCGTATCATTTGAAAGGTAGCGAAGGTTCTGGCTCGTATTTGCACCGCCTGAAGTTACTGTTTGACAAGAATGACTTTGAGCGTTCGCTGAGTAATTTTAGTCTTTGTGGGAAGGCGAGCAGCGAGCGGCCAGTCACCGCGGAGACGTTGCAATCTGATGTGGAGGATATATCACTGAGCGACACGGTAGACTCCACGGATACGTTCGATGTGAAGCCGGATGATACCGCGGAGGGTCATCAGAGCGGAACGCTGTTGAAGCTGCTGCTGTACGCCTGCCTGGCCAATGTGCTGTACCGAAACATCTGGATGGTCATCCTGGCAGCCGTGCCAGTGCTGCTGCATTTGATCTACAAATTCGGAGCGTACACGGGCATCACAGACTTTGTGTGTGGCAAGATCAATGAGCTGTATCTGGGCTTGAGGGTGAGTTGTTCGCATAATTATAATACAAATCTCTTACTTTATTGCCCACCTCCAGTCCTGGGCCATTGAACATCATTCTGCTGTCCTGCCGCTCTGCCTGCCGGGTGTGCTGGAACTCAACTATCGCATCCACACAATTGTGCGCGATTCGTTAAAGTCCTCGGTGGAGTCTGTCACCTCCATACTCATGATCATTGCCATGCTCTTCTGCATCATCATTTTGAGCGTGTTCTTTTGCGTCAACATTTATTCGGAGACCATCGAGGTGGCCTACCTGACAAAAGATCTAATTAACAAGACGATCACAGATCGTCCTGAGCTAATTGATATTTTGCCCGCCAACATGCAGGCGTCCATCGATGATGCGCTAGACAATGCGCACCATTATGGTCGCCGTAAGATAGAGACCTACATTGACGATTGGCTGGCAGACGCTGACAAGGTGCATGCCACCAAGCTCAAGGAGCAAATACTCGACGTGTGGGACAGGCTCATACAGTATTGGGTGGACTTTAACAAGCGGGGCGACTCCTACGGGCCACGTGTGCCCACGGATGCGCTGAAGAGCACTTTTGGCGAAATTGTTGATAACCCGGGTAAGCGCAGCTCCTCTTTCTACCTCTCCTCATTTGTTTTATGTAACAAATTAACGTTTACTTTATTATTTATATGCCCGGGGAAACACTTTTTGTGGTTTATGGGCTTTTGTTTTTTTTGTTTTTCTTGCTGCATTCTTAACCCCTTTTCCTTAACTTTCTGTCTGCGTCTCTATGAAATAACAAACTCATTCTATGTTCCATCCGCTAACCTACGGACATTTATTTAACAAAAGGACATTTTAAAGAGCTAGTTTTAGTGGCGAAACAGGGTATCATCGGCTGGGCACAGAGCAACACGCAAACCATCCTCGAAGTGGCTGAATCCCTTTGGCACATTATACGCACGAATCTCTCGATGATTATGGGCGTGACTGGGGAGATCCTGTCACTGGTGCTGTCTGGCGGACAAGCCTGCATCGAGTTTATTCTGGATATGGTAAGCATAGAGCTTCTGCAATTTATTTTCAGATATTTATAATGATTTTTGCAGATTGTCTTCTTTACCGCTTTGTTCTACCTCCTCTCGAGCAGCAAGGAAAAGTATGCGCCGCTTCAGATCACCAAGTACCTGGGCTACTCCACCTCTGGCACTAAGATTGTCGATGGCATGGAGAACTCCATCACGGTGGTGCTGGTCTCCATGTTCAAGTGCTCCATATTTACGGGTCTTTTCACGTGGCTGGTCCACACGGTGTTTGGTGCGCGAATTGTGTTTCTGCCCTCTGCGCTGGCAGCCATTCTAGCAGCTGCGCCATTTCTGGGCAGCTACTGGTGTGCGGTGCCCGCGTTCCTGGAACTCTGGCTGGCCCAGGATCGCTTCTATACGGGTTTGATATTGTTTCTGCTGCAGTTCTTTGTGCCCTCCACATTTGAGACGGCCATTTATGCGGATCTCAAGGGGTGAGTAAAGAACTCTCAGAAATAGATCAGTTTATTTTGATTCCCATTTATTTATGGCAGCGGCGGACATCCGTATCTGAATGGTCTGGCCATAGCGGGTGGCATGTACTGGATCGGCTGGCAGGGTGCCATATTGGGTCCCCTCATGCTGTGCTTCTTCATTGGCATCTTCGAGGTGGCCGCCTTGGCCATGCGCTCGAATCAGGATCCCCCCAGGTACTATTTGATTTATTTGTTATTGCATGAAAAGCTTGAAATTTGTGAATATTGTGCAGCGGAAGGAGCTAAGTGAGTGAGAATGTTTATTTTCCCTGTTGCTTTTGTATTGCTTGGACTGTCAAAAAGTTTATTTTCCTTCTACTAATGCGTCTGTTTTACACTGCTGTTTTTTAGGCGCAGCTCAGAGGAGGAAGCCACGCGCACCACGTGAGTGCAGAGCAACGAATAACTCCACGAATTTTATGTTTAAATACTCAAAACTAACAAGAAAGCGCTGTGGCCAAAGGCTTGACAATCAAATTGAGTTTGGCCCAAATATGATAAACGAATATCATAATAATACCCCCCTCAGGATGGCAGTTTTCCCATAACTTTGCTTCGTTTCGTTAAACGTTTTTTACTACAAATTAAATAGTATTTGAATCCGTCTAAACAGTCAGTCAGTCCCCTAATATTAGCCTGTAAGCACCCAACTAATTAACTTATTAATGTTACGTACAATATGTACCTCGAATCGAATTATTTTTGTATATAGCTAAGAGAAAAACAGTCCTTAAAGCGCTTGTAACCATTTGCATTGCATTTTGTTTGCTCGCTACTAAGTCTTGTGATTTGTTTAAGCTTAGAATCAAACATAAATAAATTCCAGTACTAACAATGCAGCCAATGACCCCATATAATTCCACAGTTTATTCCCCCCAGCAGCTCCAACGAATCGAACCCCAAACGAGCGATTATAAACGAAGAAAAGCCAGCCTTGCCGCTGCCTGCTGGAAAACCTGTTGAGCTGAGAATTATAACCAAAACTTTACAGCTGCAGCCGCAAACCAGTTAAGAACGAAGCATAAGTATTTGTGTGTGCTTCTATTGTGAAGAAAAATATTTATAAATATATAAAAAAAGAGTAAATGTAAATGTCGATTCATGGTGCATGGTGCATGTGTCGAACATTCGTTGGACTTTCTTTGCCTAATTGGTGTACTGATTCTTGAATGTGAATTCCGGATGCCGCTCCACGCTGTAAAGAAGGGAAATAAATGAGTTGTCGGTTTCCGAAAACATTTTCTGAGGTCTTACCCATGGAAGAAGGCAAAATCACACACGCGAATATTCTTATCAAGAGCCAGCAGCTTGCCCACCTCCTCCTCACTTAGCTTAAAGTCAAACACATCCAAATTTTGCTTCAAGCGTGCCGCATTTGTGCTCTTGGGAATGGCGCACAGTCCATTGTCGAGGATCCAGCGCAGCAGCACCTGAGCAGGGGACTTGCCGTGAGCAGCGGCAATCTCCTTGACCTCCGGTATGTCCATGAGGTCGGGCAAATCGCGCACAATGCCAGCGCCCGCATTGAACGCGGCAATGCCCTTGGAGCCCAGTGGGGAGTATGCTGTGACGGCCACATTCTCGGCCTTGCAGAAGTCCACCAGTTCACGCTGTTGCAGGTACACATGATGTTCGATCTGATTGTTGACTGGACGAATCTTGCAGTTCTTCAGCAGACGCGCCACCTGATCCTTGCTGAAGTTGGAGACGCCAATAGATTTGGCCAAGCCCTGTGCCACCAGCTTCTCCATTTCCAGCCAGATGGCAGCATGATCTGTGGTGGGATCCACCTCCATGAGACCCTCTGCATCGATCTTGAAGCTGCCATCCTCGTTGATGTTCAGCGTGAAGGGTGTATGAATCAGGTACATATCCACATAGTCCAGCTGCAAATCGGCCAGCGATTTTTTAATGGTTGGCAGCACTTCGTGCGGGCGATTCACTATCAAGAAAAGTTTTTATTTAATGCACAATCATTGTCTTACAATTACTCACAAATGGGTGGCAGCTTGGTCACAATGAACAGCTCCTCACGCTTCACCTTGCCAGCATCCAGCCAGCGCTTGAGCACACGCCCAATTGCCGGCTCGTTGCCATAAACTGGCGCGGTGTCGATGTGGCGATACCCCACCTCCAGGGCAGCATCAATGGCCGTCTCGATTTCCTCATCGGATGCCTAAAAACCAAAACGGGAATAAAGTGCGGTTAAGCGGTGGCAAAGATAAGATTTCAATCTGTCTAGAGTGTGTCTCTCGACAGTGTTTCATGCAGTGTTTGCCCATTTGTGGCTTTTGTTTGGTTTACACTCCAGAGAAAGTCGATTCTGTCGCTTTTTATTGTGCAGTAAAAACCGGTCCGCCAGAGATTCTAAATGCCCCTCCAGTGGGGAGGGGAGTGCAGCACGACTGGATTCGGGCGTATGACGTGTCGGGTTTTTTCTTAGTCTTTCATTAGTTATTAGTAATCAATTTAATTAATTTTGTGATATCAAATTACCTGCCAAGTGCCCACGCCAATTAAAGGCATTTTCAGCCCATTGTTCAAGGTTAAATACTTCTCGCTAGTCATGTTTTAGTGATTATTAAATTATTTCTCAGCTGGACAAGTTTCAAAGGAAGTTTTCAAAAATACCGCGACACAACCGCTTCGATGGCAAAACAATCTCTAAAGTTTATAAAAATCATGCTGCCGCCCGGCAAACGACAAGCTACACGGCTACAAAAGCTTGGGCATGAGGGATTATGTGTATTTTAAGAGACGGTCTGTCTTATTGGGGGCCCCAATGATTGACATTAGTAGCCCAGCCGCATGTGTTCTATGTTCATTTCTTTGGAGTTCGTTTTTAGAAACTTCTTGAGATCAAGTCAAAACTGTAAAAATATAAGTTCATAGCAGTCATTAGTTTCGTTTGAAATTTAAATTTTGGTTGTGCGCGCAGAGCACGTTCACACTAAAAACCAGCTTTACTGCCTATCGATAGTTTGATATATTCGATATAGAATATTGTCAGTCGTGACTCCCTCGCTTTTTGCACAATTTTCGCGGTTTCTGTAAGTTTTTAAACAAATTAAAGGCTAAAATAGCATAAAATATTAGCATTAAACCCCATTATTAATAAGCAAGTTGGTGTCAAACATGTATATGCTGTAAAAATACTAACAATCGGAGTAAACAACAGGTTGTTGAGATTCGTGAGTTTCACACGTGCCGCAAAACGTGTCTGTGGCGGTGTTTACTTTCAATTGGCTGGAAAGATGATGCGCAAAGTGCCTTTAATTGTGATACTCGGTTCGACTGGCACCGGGAAGACGAAGCTCTCGCTGGAACTGGCCGAGCGCTTCGGGGGCGAGATAATCAGCGCCGATTCAATGCAGGTCTACACGAACCTGGACATAGCCACGGCCAAGGCAACCAAGGAGGAGCAGGCACGTGCGAGGCATCATCTGCTGGATGTGGCGACTCCGGCCGAGCCCTTTACAGTCACCCACTTCCGCAATGCTGCTCTGCCGATCATCGAGCGACTGCTGACCAAATCCACTCCGCCAATTGTCGTGGGTGGCACCAATTATTACATTGAGTCGCTGCTGTGGGACATATTGGTGGACACGCAGGAGGGGGACAGCAAAAACAGCAGCCTGCTGACGCAACAGTTGGCTGATGAAACGTTGGCTGCGATGACAACTGCCGCACTGCATCAGCATCTGGCCAGCATCGATGCCGGCAGCGCCAATCGCATTCATCCCAACAACAGACGCAAGATTCTGCGCGCCATTGAAGTGTACCAGGGCACCGGGCAGACGCTGACGGAGAAGCTAGCAGAGCAGCGTCAACGCCCAGGAGGAAATCGTCTGGGTGGACCGCTGCGTTATCCCCACACAATCCTCTTGTGGCTGCGATGCCAACAGGACGTGCTCAATGCACGCCTAGATGGTCGGGTGGATGGAATGCTGCAGCAAGGTCTGCTCAAGGAGCTGCGGCAGTTTCACGATGAAAACAAAGCCGTCACTGTGCAGGCCTACACCTCGGGTGTGCTGCAAACCATCGGCTACAAGGAGTTTGTGCCGTACCTGATGAAACACAACGAGCAGCAGGATGAACAGATCGAAGAGTATCTTAGAACTCACGCCTACCGCCTGCCCAGCAAGGAAGAGCTCAAGCAGGAGGGTCTGCCCGTTGGCATCGATCTGCTGCGCGCCTGCTGCGATGAGCTCAAGCTGGTGACGCGTCGCTACTCCAAGAAGCAAATTAAATGGATCAACAATCGTTTTCTGGGCAGCAAAGATCGCCAGGTGCCGGATCTCTACGAGCTGGACACCAGCGATGTTAGCGCTTGGCCAGCGGCAGTGTACCAACGCGCTGAGTTCATAGTGGAGAGCTATAGGAGTGGCCAGCTGTGCGAGATTGAGCCAATGGCCAAGCGTGTGCATCCCGGCGCAGATCTCAATGAGGAGACGAGCAACTTTTGTGCTATCTGCGAGCGGCACTTTGTTGGCGAGTATCAGTGGGGGCTGCACTTGAAGTCCAACAAGCACAAGCGTAGGCGGGAGGCAAAGCGCAGAAAGGAGAGGGAGCAGGAGCAGGAAGCGGAGAGGCAGCAGTCAACTGCTGATAAGGTTTTTGTAAATGAAACGAAACCCGAGACCCTCGCATAGCAATAAAGGCGTATACGTACCAATTTGAGCGATTTTCTGTTTATTTTTTGTTGCACTCGAGCTGAGCTCACTGATCTGCTGATGCAAGCGGCGGTTTGGGTGCGAATTCGATAACCCCACAGCCCTGCAGCTGCACCGGGGGGGGCCTGGTATCAACGACAAACCGCAGCCCACAGCCGTAGGTCGTTGCCTAGGCGTAAAAAAAGCGAAAACATGTTTGTGCAATCCCAATCCGCAGCCTACGTCCTCAACTGAACTCGTTTTGCCTTTCATTTGCATTTCAGACGCCAGCAAAACTACAAGCAGCACCATGAGCTCCAGCAAGATTGGTGAGTCTCAATCAAAGTCTCTCTCAGTGTCCACCATCTATCCACCGCACATTTATCCCTCCCTCCAGCTCTTCTTAGCGTTTCGGACAAGACGGGTCTGCTTGACTTGGGCAAGAAACTTGTGACCCTTGGCTTTGAGCTGGTCGCCAGTGGCGGCACTGCCACAGCGCTGCGTGCCGCTGGCCTCAAAGTCAAGGATGTGTCGGACATCACTGGCGCACCCGAGATGCTGGGCGGACGTGTGAAGACGCTGCATCCTGCGGTACATGCTGGCATTCTGTCACGCACCACCGACAGCGATCTCGCGGACATGTCGAAGCAGGGCTACGGCTTGGTTCAGCTGGTGGTGTGCAATCTGTATCCCTTTGCCAGCACCATAGCCAAGCCGGATGTTACGCTCGCCGATGCTGTGGAGAACATTGACATTGGCGGCGTCACACTGCTGCGTGCGGCGGCCAAGAACCATCAGCGTGTCACAGTCGTCTGCGAGGCTGTGGACTACGAGCGAGTGCTGGCGGAGATCGGCGCCAAGGGAGATACCACGTTGGAGACACGCCAGTCGCTGGCCCTCAAGGCCTTCACGCACACGGCCAGCTATGACGATGCCATCTCGGACTACTTCAGGAAGCAATACGGATCGGGTGTGTCCCAGCTGCAGCTGCGCTACGGCATGAATCCCCACCAGAAGCCAGCACAGCTGTACACCCAGCTGGCGCAGTTGCCGCTGCGCGTGCTCAATGCCTCGCCGGGCTTCATCAATCTCTGCGACGCTCTCAATGGCTGGCAGCTGGTCAAGGAACTGAAGCAGGCGCTGAATCTTCCAGCAGCCACTAGCTTCAAACATGTCTCGCCCGCTGGTGCCGCTGTGGGTGTGGCCCTCAATCCGGCACAGGCCAAGCTCTGCATGGTGGACGATCTGTACGAGCAGCTGACGCCACTGGCCACGGCCTATGCCCGGGCACGTGGCGCGGATCGTATGAGCTCGTTCGGGGACTTTGTGGCCCTGTCCGATGTCTGCGATGTGGTCACAGCGAAAATCATCTCCCGCGAGGTATCCGATGGCATCATTGCAGCTGGCTACGAGCCGGCAGCTCTGGAAATTCTCAAGAAAAAGAAAAATGGCAGCTACTGCATTCTGCAGGTGAGTAAAATGAATCGGAAATAAGCTCAAAAACTCAATCCATCCTTTCAGATGGATCCCAGCTACGAGCCCACCGCTGTGGAGCGCAAAACCATCTTTGGCTTGACTCTGGAGCAAAAACGCAACGATGCCGTCATTGATGCCTCGCTCTTCTCGAAGGTCGTGAGCAAGCGCAGTCCCCTGCCCGAGGCTGCTGTGCGGGATCTCATTGTGGCCACCATCGCGCTGAAGTACACGCAGAGCAACTCCGTTTGCTATGCGCGCGATGGTCAGGTCATTGGCATTGGTGCGGGCCAGCAATCCCGCATCCATTGCACGCGTCTGGCCGGCGAGAAGGCCGACAACTGGTGGCTGCGTCAGCATCCCAGCGTGGCCGGCATGAAGTTCAAGGCAGGCGTGAAGCGCGCTGAGATATCCAATGCCATTGACAACTACGTGAATGGCACGGTGGGCAAGGACATGCCGCTGACACAGTTCGAGAGCATGTTCGACACGGCGCCACAGCAGCTGACAGCTGAGCAGAAGGTGGAATGGCTGAAGCAGCTGAGCGGAGTGGCTCTCGGCTCCGATGCATTCTTTCCCTTCCGCGATAACATTGATCGCGCGAGTCTGGTATGCTGAGAAGCTTCTACCTATGCTTTGGACTCTTCTTAATTCCTTTTTATTATATTTCCACAGAGCGGTGTGTCGTATATTGCCAGCCCGGCGGGATCTACCAATGATGCTGGCGTCATTGCCGCTTGCGATGAGCATGGCATCATTATGGCCCACACCAATCTGCGCCTGTTTCATCATTAAAGACAGTGCAGCAACCCACTAAGCATATCTGCCTGCCAGTGACCGACTGCTAAGTTCGCGTATTATTTGGCATTTTTAGATCTTCCTCAGCTTTGTCGAATATGCACAACCCAAATCCAACTGCCTTTTCTCCACATTCCACATGCTCAATAAAAATAGAATTTAAACTTGTACCTTTAGTTAGTTAAACGAACGCTGCCTCGACTAAACACTATTTATTTATCAAGAATTAGTTTGCTAGTGAATGTACACAGTTCAAAGAACCAGTTCAGAGCCAGCTACAGTTCCAGTTTTCCAGCGAATGTACACAGTTCGAAGAACCAGATCCAGCTACAGTTTCAGTTTGCTAGTGAATGTACACAGATCGAAGAACCAGTTCAGAACCAGATTCAGCTACAGTTCCAAATCGAAATTCAAATCCAGCAGCCTACCGACTGCGCTGCTTCCGACAGGCTCTTTGACAATTGCACAAAAAGATGATGAAGGTGAAACAAAACATGAGCACAGAGGCTAGCACCAATGCCACGGATGTGGTCTGCTCATAGCTGAGCGTGGGATCAAGCACATGCTGCTGCGGCAGCAATTCAAAGTCGACTAGCACTTGGGTGCCGTTGGGCGGCGGGCAGGGCTGCTGCACAATAATCTCCTGATGCTGAACCTGTGACAAGAAATTCACCTATTAATATACCTTTTGCATGGCAATATTTCACTGCTGGTAGACCCACCTGTTTATTGCGGCACAGCTGCAGTCCAGCCGAATTGGCCAGCGTCTCCGCACTGTACTCATCCTGCACGAGCACGGGCAGCAGCCAACGCTCCGGGGAGACCAGCTGCAGCCAGGACCAGAACATGGAAAGGTTCTGTGGATGCACCAGATAGCCACCCACCGAGGCCAGTGCGAGGCTGATCAAACCATTGACAATGCTCGCGGAGACCTTGCACGGAAACAGATGCGCACAGAACAGGGCGAGGGTTTGCACCAGCGTTAAGTAGAGCAGCATGTAGCCTGCAAAGAGGAAAGGTTTAGCAAGGGGGAGAGGCAGGTTTTGCAGATTAACTTACCCATGTACAAGTAGATGCCCGTATCGCTGCTGTTTGAATAGGTGTACAGTCCGGCCATGCTGTGTGCCGGCAGCAGATATGCCAGCCAAATGCACAAACTGGGAAATAGGCCCAGTAAACTCTGTTTACAAAAGGGATTCATATATTAGTATTGTTTTCCTGCCACAGTCGCATCAAAGGTAATATAATATCAATATGATAACGAAACAGGGGGTTGGTTTCTTGGCTACTTTTCGCTCCTCCAAATCGTGGTGAAATCACTAATAAGGTGACGATCTCCGCTGAGCGAGGACATCACGTTGTTAGTAAATTCACCACGAGGACTGGACCCAGGACTAGAACCAGGCAGAGCAATCGTATGGCATTACGCATCTTGATATTATATTGTCTTTGGTCGCTTTCCCATAGATAATTCACCTGCACCACAATGTAGAGACTGCGCGAGTACAGGCCCAAGCGAATGTCTCGCTCGGCATGCCGTCGATCCTCTTGGGTGTCGCGTATGGTGAGCATGACCAGCGGCCAGTAGACCAGCACCATGACACAATGATGATAGCCAAAGCGATCGTTGTAGGTCAGCTGTGGATCCGAGGCAGGCACATCCCAGAAGATGCAGCCAATGCAGAGCGACAGCACTGCGGCGGCAATCAGCTTGCTGATCCACGTGAGCAGCGATCCTGGTTGCTTGTAGCCCGCAAAGCGCTTGATCAGCGCCTTCATCTGGCCAAAGAAGCCCGCTTTGAGGGTAAAGTTGGGCAGCGAGGCGGGTGGTGCGGCCAGCGGTGGCTCCGAGTTGATTTGATCCCAGGCATTGGCCAGCGACTCGATGCGTGCGGAGGACTCCAGCATGGCAGCCGCTGACAGGTCATCCAGGGTGACCAAATCCACTACAAGGGAAGGAAAGATGTAGCTTAAGAGGGTGAGCTGCTTCCAGACTTACAATAGTAATCCGCTGGATTCTTGAACGGCGGACACGGATAGCCCAGCTCGCCCATGTGTCGCGGTAAGTCCGCGCGACTGCCCGAGAAGACGGTGCGTCCGCCGGACAGCAGCAGCACGCCGGAGCACATGGAAAGTATCTCAAAGGTGGGCGGCTGTAGAGTCATGATGACAATGCGTCCGCCGCTGCACCATTGCCGCAGATATTCCACCAGGAAGAACGTGTCAAAGATGTCCATGTTGCTGGTGACCTGATCGAGAATCAGCAGCGAGGATTGCGCCAGCAGCTGGCACGCCACGCTCAGGCGCTGCTTCTCCGAGTGCGTCAGCGAGGAGACATTCGAGGCGCGCACGGTGTTCAGGCCCAGGTCCTCAATGAGCACATCCATGCGCTCCTTGATGTCACTGCGATCGATGGGCCCGCGCAGCGCCGCATGGAAGTTCAGCGTGCACTGGACACTCATGCGCGGATCGAGGGAGGACACCTCCAGCGCTGGCACATAGCTGCACAGCTCCCTCAGGCCGTGTCGATTCACCTGCTGCCCATTGATGAGAATCTCACCGCCCAGCCGCTCACTCAGTCCGGCCAGGCACTCGGCCAGGGCGCTGCCCTCGCGCTGTGACGTGGCCATAATGGCGAACAGATCGCCGGCCTTTGCCTGCATGGAGACGCCGCGCAGGCAGGGATTCACATCGAGGCAGTGCACCTGGATGTTCGGATAGATCAAGCCCATGCCCGACTGCTTGCGGCTGTGCACGTACTGCTGCGCATGCCTGGAGCTCGCATAGATCCTCGACTCGTTGTAGTCATAGCCCAGGCCCAGGTCTGCGCTCATGCCTCCCTGTGCGCCCAGCAGATCCGCCTCGCTGTGCGAGCGATGGCCGTAGTGCTTGCCATTCATGTACTGCTGCTGCTGCTGCTGCTGGTGCTGCTGATGCAGCTGCTGGTGCTGCTGGTGCTGCTGCTGATGATGATGATGCTGGCCCACTGCAATGCTCGCTCTGCTATTGGCCTGACGCAGTGCTGCCGCGGGCACACCGCCATGGGCACGCGACTCTGGGCGCGAGTGCGGCATGCCGCCAATGGCACGGAAGTCGGACTCGCTGCGATACTTCCGTAGATTCGGTGGCACACGACTGCGCGTCGTCTCATTGTCGCTGCTGTCGTAGCCACTGGAGCCAGCGCCCGCCGGTGCGCCCGAGCTGTCCCTGAAGCCACGATTCACGCGGCCACGAACGCCGCCCAGAGCGCTGGAGCCGCCCGGTATAGGTCCTGGTCCTGGCCCCGGACCCGGTCGATGCGAGCGCTGTGAGCCCGCATTCGGTGGAAAGACGCGCGGCAGTCCAAACTTCAGATATGTGTACATGTTCGAGCCCAAAGGAGATCTGCAAAGGGGTTGAGAAAAACGTTTGAGTTTCAGGAATCATGATAAATACCCCCCCAATCCTCGATGTACATCTTTTGATTGCATTCACCGACCAATGGATGATGGAAGATGCATGATAATAATTGTGAAAGTGTTTAAATCAATTCTCTGTCTGACTCACTTGGGTCCGTAGCGCGGATGATTCAAAATGGATTGAACTGTGGTATCGCGTAGCTGGAAATTTCCATATGGCAGCGGTGATTTATCAGACGAGCCCAGCGCTGAATCGGTAAAGTCAGAGTTCAGATTTTGCCTGCAGAGAAAAGGGGGAGTTGGTTGCGGTCAGCTGGCCATGATTGGGGGGCAAGGAGGGGTCTTGTCTGCCTATTTATGGCATCAACTTCCGCCTTCCGTTTGCGGTTAAATCAAGCGTCAACAGGTGCAGCCGCTGACGCTCCATTGAGCTGTGGCAACTGCACCCAAGCTGTGCCCCAAAACTCACCTGTAGATGGACCAGGCATGCAGATCTTCGGATGCCGCTGGCGGCAGCGGTGTATTGGGTCCATGTGGCACCGAGTAGCGTCGCTCCTCGCGTGACATCTTCTTGTTATTCGAAAAGTTGCTCAGCTCCATGTTGTGTCTGTCTGCAAGTAGAATAGAAGTTGAATTTCGGGTCAAAAATGTAAGCTGATTCCGCAGTCAAACTGGGTCAAGAATACCAGCTACTGTCGCTGGGTCTGTCTCTGCTGCTATTACTCATAATTGGCGGGAATTAGCCTAATGACAATGCCCCCACATATCCACACACGCAGCAGTTGGCAATTGGAATTCAGAGTCAGAGTCAGAGAGTCAGAGAGTCACAGCCATTGTCATTTCATACAGCGGAAACTGTGCTCGATTCTTGGGCTGCTGGCTGCAGTTTTTTCAAAGAATATTTTCTACAAACTGAGTTGCAGCCTTGAACTATATCATGGCAGCTTCGAGTCTATCTTTAGTTGAGGCACTTAGCCAGATTCTATGCCCACACACAGCTCGCATTTCGAATGCCATTTGTGGGCGGCTGTTCCCCAAAGCTAATTATTGTGGTTTGCACATATTTCAACTGCCAATTTAGCTGTCCCTTTGGGCTCAACTCACTTTGCTCATTTCTCATAAGCTTTAGCTGTTTTTTCTTGCACTTCTTTAAGCTAATTTCTGAGGCTTATTGCTGCTGCTTATGCGAGTCAAAACAAGAGAGAACAAAGCGCTTTGCTGATTGCAACAGCGGCTGCTGTGTGTGTTTTTAATTGCCAAAAGAGCAACAAAACTGGCATTCAAATGAGCTGCTGTGGCGCCCCAAAATGTGGCCAAATGTGGCGCATTATGCAATTGAAACGAAACTAACAGAAACTAATGCACAACAAGTGCAAACTGCCGCTGTAGCTGTCTGCTGCAGTGCACCGAGGCGTGTGCATTTCCGTTGTGGCAGCCACAGACAGACGCCGACAGACAGCCACTCGGCTTACGTGGTCTCAAGTGTTCTACGAGGAGTTTGCCTTTTGGCGAAAGTGAATGCCACAGTTAATTGCCACAGCTGTGCGGCACATCTGAAAGTGAAGCTGCGGCCAGGCCAAGGCGTTGCCGGGCAGAAATGCTTTTTTTTTTTGGCGCCTGAATTATAGCCGCAGCACAAACACCTTTCGCCCAGTTAAACTTTCTGTATGATTATTATGAGATTGCTTATTAAACAGCTTGTTGCAGCTTGGGGTATTAACGCTTTTAATTGCGTGCTAAATTCGGTTTTAATTAAAAAACGTTTGTGGCATAATCCGCAATAAACGGATTTTCCTGCCAGCTCAACGCATTTTCAGTTGATTTTTTGTGTGTGTTTGTTTATCTTTTTCCTACACCATTACAATATTTACCCGGGTGGGCGGAGAGAGGCTTTTTCTGCAGTGAAAGTGGAAGCAAAAAGGTTTTTTTTAAGACCCGCGAGAGCCCGGCAAGTCAGCCATGCTGCACACACAGATACTGCCACAGGCACTTAAGTATTTGTATCTTAAGTGGGCACAAAGCGTCGCTTTTGTTGCATGTAATGCATGTAATGAATGAATGGTATTGGGGGCAATGGTACGGCTACAGCTGAGGGACAGGCGGCATTGATTTATGCCCCAGCCCAGGCAAAAAAAGATATCAAAAGTATCTCTTCATTGTTTGTAGCTCCAACAAGTGCGTGAGGCTACGAGAGATGGTTGGTTGGCTGGCAAAGAAAGGAAAGTGAATGGACCATCATCCAAAGAAGCGGGAAAGACTTTTAGTTTCAAACTAAAGACATCAAAATGCAATTAATAATCGAAAATTGATGATCAGGGTGTGCCGCCGCTGATTGATGGAGTTGCTTGTGGCGGCGGATCATTAATTCCTCAATGATTAATAAATCAACTTTTGCAGCTCGAACACTGCGTTTCACTTTAGTAAAACATGCAAAAAACATAAACTTTTGTTGTACATATTTGCTGCTGCTGCACAAATCTATTCTCAGTGATTGGGTGGCCAAAAACTGGATCTGCAGCTGTGCAGCAGCCCCAAAAAAATGCTGGCAGTTGCAGCCGTGGCCAGAATTATATCATAGACTTTGATCAACTCGCAATGCAGTCCGGTCCAATGTGGGTCGCTGGCTGTTGCATGATTCCATTTGTGCAACTATTTCCCTGTCAACGGTGCTCGAGCTGGTGTGAATAGATCACAAGTAAGTGAGCAAAACGGTTATTGGCAACTGCTTAAGCCAATTGGCGAGTGAGGAGAGTGTAGACCCGTTTGCTGTCATGCTGCATTCCCGTTGACTGTCCTGAAGACACACATACCAGAGACAAGAGAGAAGTTGTTGTCGCTTGACAACTGCCCGGAGAACCGTTGCGTGTCGGACTGTCTGTCTGGAGACCTACTCTTGGCCAGAGTCACAGTCAACCATTGATGCAAAAACTGCAGTTATGTGTCTTGCTTGGTTTTTCGGTCACTGATCGCGCCGGCTTGTGGCGCTCATTTTATGATTTAATGGAGCGAAGCACCCAAGTGCTTTGTGGCTGCTCTCTCACTCTGCTGACCTGCCCTCGAAGCTGCCCAATCTTGTTGAGATTTCCATTCCCACGCAAAAGCCAATTAAATTGGGTTAACAAATGAGCCGTTTCCCCCAGTGCCCAGTGTCCAGTGGCCCCATGGGCCAAGTTTTCATTTCATTTCACTGCCGCAACCAAAAACTTGTTTCTCATTCCTCGCAGCAACAGGTAGGTCAGCCAGCCGACAGGCTCCCAAATCACAAGCAGCGCCTTTGATTGCCACTGACAGACTGTCCAAGAGAAAGAGGGAGAGACAGGGCAGGTGCGGAGGGTGGTGGTGCGGACTTTGCCTAGTGAGAAAGTGAAACTCTTGTGTGGCATAATTTGTGGCCGTTGTGGCTGAGAATGTGCCAGGCAACATATTTTTCGCCACAAAAAGTGGGTCGCTGCAGTTTTGTAATTTTTGCAATTAAAATTTGCACAAAGGAAACGGCATACACAGGCGCTCCCCATAAAAAGTTATTTTTGCATGCAGCCATTGAGTCATTTCCATCAAATATTTGCACTTTTCGATTTAAATATGGGAAATATTTGCAGCTGGAAACGAGTTATCCTGAGTAGCATTCTTATCGCAAATATGAGAGGAGAGATCCGCCGTGCGTGCCGCAGCTCTGACTAATGCCAAATGCCGCAGCTCTCAGCTCTTAGCGCTGCAAATTAATAATCAAAACCAACTAAACGATGTGCCAGCTTGTGGGCAACATTCCAGCGTTTGTTGAACTTGTTCTCAGCTCTCTGAATTTGTAGCTGATTCCCGCCTGAAGTTATTTTTTGTGTTCGTGTGTGTGTTAATTGATCTCTCGAGTTTTTTGTTTGATTTTCTAGCACGTTTTATTGTTGGAACGAGTATGCAAATTGCTCACACTGCTGCGCAGACTTCGAGTCCGTCAAAGAGAGGGAATCTTGAATGGCAGCGGACAGCCGCGACACATACTCATAATTTGTGAAAGTTTTTTCGGGTAAATTGATTATGAGTGAAAGATATTTGAGCACTCAGTCTCGGGAGAGGTGGCAGGAAGCTCCAATGATCTGCAATGATCTCTTGTGTGGCTTAGAACCAAGCATTAATCATGTTAGTTGCTCTCCTGGAGCATCTTTGAGCTGACCCAAATGGCAGCTAGTTAATGGTTTTGGCCCACAAATTGTCATTAAATTGAGCAATAGCCAAGGCGACCAAGGGGGTGCACGGGGCCATAACCAGAAGTGAGCTTGCCAGAAATGCGAGCACAAGAATTCCGCCACTCTGCTGACATCGTGGCTCTGTGACTGTGACCCCAAAAGCAGCGAAAACAACAAAAATAAAGCTAATGTCAACGAATATTCCGTCATGGCTGGCATGGCTGAGCCACTGCGGTGGCTCGCATTTCGGTGTTGATTTTCAGTTTTGGCTTTTCCGTTTTTTTCGGTTTTCCATTTTCGCTTCGAAAATTGAAGCAAGGTCAGTTTTATAAATTATACGAAAACTTTTGCCACAGTTTTGGGCATCTTTACAGGCAATTAACGCCGAGCAGCAGCAGCAGCAGCAGCAGCAGGAGGCCCGAGACAAAGGGGCAAAGACTTTCCTGTGTTGCAACAGACACCAGACCGGAGACTTGTGAAAGTGGCCAACAATTGTGGGTAAAAATTTGCATGACAGGCGGCACTCCCCTTTTTATGCCCACACACACACACACATAAGCGCCAGCCAGCTAATTGACATAAATTCCAAGACAAACAAAAAGGAAAAGAAAGACAGCAGTCGAGCAGTTCCCTGCGTTTGCTGTTGCATGCATAAAAATGCGAGTTACAAATGGCCAAATTCCAGCAAAAAGCAAACACACACACACACACACACACCCATGTGTCCCCCCACGACCTGCTCTCTGGGTTTGACATGGATTCAAAGTCCGATTTATTCGGCTCACGTTTCGAGAGCTTCTCGTTCGCTTCACAGCTTCGACTCTGACTTTATCATTCTTCATTCTATTCATGATTCTGCTATGGCAGTGTGTCTGTGTGTGTGTGTGTGTGTTTTCCAAGTGAAATTAAATAAAGTTCTCTTTTCTTTTCTGTACTTTTTATGGCCGTAAAAGTCACGAGGCAGCGTTGTACTTTCTTCGCCTAATTATGCAGCTGTTCTGCTTCTGTTGCTTCTGTTGCTTCTGCTGCTGCCTCGTCTCGTGTGTTAATTTAATTATAATAAAAAGTAAATTAACTTGCTCTCTGGCCTCTATCAATGCATACAATTTTCATGGTCGCAGCTTTTAATGTGCATCTGTGGAATTTCGAATTTAAATTTTATACCCCTTTGGCCAGCACTGCACCAGCTCTGACTTCAGCCAGGTGAGAGCTAGTCAGAGGTAGTCGGCGTTGATCATTAAATGCAATGATTCATTCGTCTCGGAATAGCATCCACACATCACATACTAAAACTTCAATTGAGGCTCAGAAATATGTACACATCTGTGAGCCCAGAGCAAGAACAAGTTCTGGCTGCAGCCACACCTTTGCCTTTTGCTGGAACCAAAAACTTGCCTAGACCCCAAAGACAAAGACAAAGACAAAGGCAAAGAGCTGGCCAGGCCAACCTCCTTCCCCCTGGCAGTGCTCCCCAGATTCCCGCTGGGACTGGCAAACTCCCCACAAAGCCATAACTGACAATCAATTCGAGTTTAAGCTGCCTCCACCGGCGCTGTCTGCCTGCGCCTTTTGCCTCTTGGACTTTTTGTCTAGACTCCGCCAGTTGCTGCCTTAAGTCTTTCGATTTTCTTTGGAATTGGAGCTGAAATTGTTCGAAAATTGAATTACGATCGCTCGACCGATACCAAAACTTATTGTCAGATATTATTGTCAGCCGCTTCTAAGCACTTTTTTGGCTTTGTTCCTTTGGTATCTTTTTTTCTTTCAGTTTTTTCTTATTTCTTTTTGGGGTTGGGGGAAACGCAAACAGCAGCCACAAATCATCAGCAAGACACCGTTAACAGCCATAATAATACTGTTAACTAATTTACGCCAGAACCACAACACAGCAAACAATAGGAAGAAAAATCAAGAGATAAAACAAAACAACAAGTCAGCGGCCCAGCAGCCCAGCGGCCCATCATTTTTCGGCTGGGGCTAACTATTGGACCCACCAAAAGAAACCTTTTTCAATGGACTTGGCTTGGCCATGGCTCGGCAAACCTAACGGTACGTCCGAGAGGTAATTAGATGCGAGTAATTTGTGAAAATGGAAGCCAAGAATCTGCATTGGGAAGGGCCGCCGCGGAGACAATGATTTATGGCAGAGCCCTGAGAATGGTGTTGCAAAAAAAAGAAGTTCTGGGCTCTGCTGATTGGGGAGCATCATCCAAATGTGGCGAGAAATCAAATTTAATGGCGCAACATTTTTTGAAAGTGATTGTGAGCCAAAGATTGGCAGCTGCGACGCAGCAAAAATTGCAAAATGAATGTGAAAGTTGCTTGGGCCAGACAGGCCGATCGCTCGCTGATTCTCTCTCTATATGCCCATGTATAAGCTGTACATATGTGTTCACTTTTGTGCACATAAAACCATCTTCGGCCAAAGAGGAAATGCCAAGACGTTGCCGGGGAAGCAAACAAACAAAAACTGATCCCCGGAGAGCACTAAGAAGGCAACGAGCGAGCACCATCGAGCATCGAGGCAGCCGGCAGCCAAACAAACAAACAAACTGAAACTTGTATCTGAAAGATACACACTCGCAGAAGCAAACTCAGAACTCAGAACACAGAACACAGAACCAAGAACAGAGTTGGGCACTTGGCCATGGCTTGGCACTGTCTTTGGCTTTGGCTCTAGATGGGGGGAACTTGGACGACCGCCACTTGGGTTCGGGTTCTGGTTCTGGAGGGCCCCACAGCGAAAGAGAGTGGGCAAGAGAGCGAGCAAAAAAAAGTAATGTGGAAGCAGTGGAAAGATAGAAGCCAAGCTAGACAAAAACCCGCTTGTGGGATCTTTGACCTGCGCTGGTGACGACCGAGAGAGCAGCCGCCGCAGCGGCAGTCGCAGTCGCAGTCGCAGCCAACGTGGAGCGCTGGCCCGTCAACGCCTTGGCTGGAACCTTAGAAGAAGTCTCTTTGTAGCTGAGCAGCGAGTTTTGCAGAGAATATATACATATGTGTGTGAGTGTATTGTTGCGAGGTGGCAAGTGTTGTATCTTGGCGTTGTTTAATACAATTAACAGTAAATACCAGTTGTACAAACTCCAATTAGTTGTCCACCAAGAGGTACATGCATACATACACACATGTACATGTGTGTGCTCAGATGCACACACTTATCTATCATCTATTGTCCCTTGCTGTACTATGCAACACTTACATTTTGCTCTTGCTGTTGGTGCTGTTGCTCCTTGCTGGTTACAATGTTGGCAGTTCTCAATCTCTCTGCATATTCCACATAGGTACAGGCACACACACGCAAACACAAAAAAACACAACACACACACGCACAAATCTCGCGTCACTTGTATTTGATTTTTGGCGTTTTCGGCTGGAACCACTTTTTATTTTGTATTTCTTATTTGATTTTTCGTATTGGCTAATTTCATTTGTCATAAGCCATCAACATTTGCATGCACTTCCACATTGCCATTTGGGAATTTTTGCACTTATTGTATTTTATTTGCATTTGCCTTTATTTGTTGTTGTTATCGTTACGCCAACTACATTTCAATTAGATTTCCTCCATACGCGTAGTGGTGTTTTTTTTTTGTTGGAATTTCTGAATTAAATCAAGCGCCGTGCGCAGGCAGCAAAATGTGAGGCAAATCTGGGCACCGAACCGCGGGCTCTGCAGAGGCAAACTCTCTGGCTGCTCGGTTGGAATCGAACTGAACTGAACTTGGCCTCCGGACGCCATCTTAGCCCGCTTGGTCTCTGAAATTCAGACGGCTAGAGAGTAGTGCTTCCAGTGGCTCTCTTTCCATGCCAATTGGAATGACTCTAAGCTCCGATCTGGTCGGGCCAGAAGCAACAGTTTCAGTTGGAAGATCGCACTCAGTGGGTTTGGACGTATTCGCGGAGGTTAGGCGGTGTTTTATTTAAGTTTTTCTTTTATGTTAACAATCAAAGAATACTGATAAAAAGTTTATTGTTTATTAAATATTGTTAAATGTTAGCTGCTAAAGACAGTTCCACGTTTTTTTGTATGAAAGTGCTGTTAGAATACTTTCCGCTCTTCGCCTCTCTCTTTTTCACTCTCTCACTGCGCTCTCTCTCTGCTTATTCTGTTCCAGTGAGAGCACGCCATCTACCACTTTCAGACCGTTTGTTTTTGAGCCGCTCTTGAACTACGGACAGCGTGTGAGGCATAGAGCAGGAGAATAAGAAACAAACAAACCGTTGTTGCTCTCGCAGTTGTTGTTGCTGTGTTGGCTATGAAAATGATTGGAAGCGATTACGTACTGGAAGCGCACAACATATTCCACACCACCGAGGCAAGTGCACCCAAAACTGGAAATGCAATCCACCCCAAAAGCAATGTGCACTTCCATTTCCAATGACAAGTTTTTTGTTTTGTTTTGTTTTTGTTTCTGCCCAACAGGTGGATGGCGGCGGCTGCTTCAATGGAGCCGGCAATTCGGCGCTGGTGCTGAAAGGCGTTAATCTCACCGTTCACAGTGGCGAAGTGATGGCCATACTGGGCTCCAAGGGTAACTAACTAAGCAGCGAAGAGTTATTATAAAATAAACTTTAATTTTTGCTTGCAGGCAGTGGTAAGCGTGCCTTGTTGGATGTTATTTCGAGGCGCTCCGATGGCGCCACTCGTGGTCAGGTGCTGCTGAATGGTTCACCGTTATCCAAGGCCTTGTTCCAGCAGCGCTGCGGCTATGTGACACAATCCTGCACCTTTGTGCCCGGCCTGACGGTGGCCCAGACGCTGCACTACACGCCAACAATTGTGAGTGTTACATTAATCCCACGAAGACTTGAAATAATTATGGCATCCGTTGCAGTTGAGTGGCTATCTGAAGAGTTCGAAGGTGCGACAAGTTCTGGCTGACTTGGCTCTGTCGCAGGTGGCCCACAAGCGTGTGGAGTATCTGAACATCAGTGAGGCGAGACGCCTGGCCATTGGCATACAGCTGGTCAGAGATCCTGGTGAGTAGGCTCAAACTTAAAGCGATAAAGATGGCCCTTAACTACGTGAGTTTCCCCACTCGTAGTCATGCTGCTGCTGGATGAGCCCACGCATGGACTGGATCCGTTGAGCGCCTATTTGCTGATATCCATTCTATCCAACACGGCCAAGAAAACGGGTTGTGGAATTTTGCTTTCCCTAGAGAAACCCCGCTCCGATGTGTTCCCTTTCCTGGATCGCGCTCTGTTTCTGTGCCTGGGCGGCGTTGTCTACTCTGGCGGCACTCGCGCCATGCTGGAGTACTTCCATGGCATTGGTTTTCCCTGCCCGCAGCTGGAGAATCCCCTCATGTATTACCTCTGCCTGTCCACTGTGGATCGCCGCAGTCGCGATCGTTTCCTGGAGTCCAGCCAGCAGATCGAGGCGCTTGTGGAACGTTTCTCCCGAGAGACACCCATCTCTGATGCGCCATTGAATAACATGGGATCGGGCAAGGTGCCGCTGGCCTACGGCAAGCCGGGAGAGCTTAAAGTTTGGGTTATGTTGTACTTGTGAGTTGGGCATGGCATTGTCTGCTTTTGGTTTGTAACTTGTCATTTTTACTCAAAGAAAACTGCTGGCATCGACCTTCTCCTGCGGTCTGGTTGGCCTGAAGACGCTTTTCCTGCGACTGCTGCTGCTGCCCATAGCCATGACAATACTTTGGGCTTTCTATACAAATGTGGGGGTAAGTTAGCAGCTAGTAGCATTCACTTGTAGTTCAAAAGTTTAACAGTTGTATCTTCCAGGATGATGCTCATGGCTTCTTCACCAGAAATGGCATGATTCTGAACATATTGGGCTTGTCCTATGGCTGCGGCATACTGACTACCATAACGCTGTGTAGGTTCTCGTTTCTTTTATAAAGATTCTTGTTTAAAGTTCGTTGTTGCAGTTCCCGTTTGGCGCAAGAAGCTCTCACAGGACACCCCAGAGGGCCTCTACTCCGGCACCACCCTCCTTATAGCCTACAATGCCGTGTCCATTCCTTTCTCTGCCGTATCTGCGGTCATCGCCAGCTGCGTGGTTTACCCGTAGGTGCCGCAGCAACATGAAAAAAGTTCACACTTAAACGCTTACTTCCCCGTAGATTGCTGCTGGATTTGAAGTACAATAATGGCATCGTATTTGCCTATTTGCTTGTGGCACTTTGGTCCAGTTTTGTGCTCGCCGAACAGCTCTCCATTGCCTTTTTGCTGGTGGTCAAGGTGCCCTTCAATGCAGCCATCGCGGTGACTTATGCGCTGGTCATTAGCATTGCCCTGGCCAGCGGCACAGTGCGGTGGGTACACTGAAACAAGATCCAGTGTCCATGTCTTATATTCCCGATCTTTTCTTTACAGCTCCTTCAAGGGCCTACAGCCCTGGCTGCAGGACAACACCAAGGGCACACACACACGTTATGCATCCTCGCTGCTGCACAGCATCGCCTTTCAAACGCGAAAGTTGAATTGTACGCCCACCGCCTCTGTCATTTGCCCCAAGCCCACGGACTTTATGCACGAGCGTCTAGGCTTGCCACATCCTGATGTAATTTGTGCTCACTATAATATCCAGTGCCCACTATTTATCACTCTAAATTACTTGCAGGAAACAATTGATGTGGCTGCCTCCTGTGCGTTTGCCGTTGGCCTGGCTGCCTTCAATATGCTCATTTATTTGTTCCCCATGCCGCGCTGTGTGCGACAAAAGTTCAAGGACTGAGTGGCGGCGTTCATCCCCACTGCACAACATGACTAACTTTATTTATTTTAAGCGTATTTCACACATAAAAAAACAAAACAAAAACTAAAACACTTAATTGGCGAGTGAAAGAGGTTCAACATCGATTGTCACGAGTAACGAACGATATTACAGCTGGCAGCTGGCAGCTGGCAGCCGGCAAAGCATCGATACTACAAGTGAGTACTAATCGATAAAAAGCATCGACAAAAACATATCGAGATCAAACCTCGCTTTGGCGCTCTGCTAATCGTTGGATCTTCAAGTTTTTTATGAATTACATATTTTATTTACAAGAAACCTTAAAGTAAATACAATTTTGTAGTGAATTCATTGAATATTACACAACAAGTACAAAATCAGCCGCTCTTCGATACAATTTTGGGCTTCCTTTCGTTATTTGCTTTCATTTTAACAATTGTCTAACGACTAAACATATACTTTCTTTTCGTTTATTTAAATAACTAGATACACGCATGGAAATGCATTAGAACGCATCTTGATTCGGAATATGTTATCTGAAATCTGATTGAATGAATGTACGCGAGTGTTAATGGGGGCGTGGCTAAGCGGGTTCATCATTATACGATCGATATGCAGGTGAAAGATAATGCAAGGCGGAACAGGAGTTTTCCCTTGAGAAATGGATGTATATGGGTTGCTTGATCGTTTACGCTATGAATAGTATAATTAGTTAATGGTCAAAGGCAGTGCAAAATGGAGTTATTAAAGGTACAGTTGTGTAAGTAGTTAGTTAGTTCGTGTGCTGGGGCCAGGACTGGGGAGCGTAGCTCAGTCCGTGTCGTAGTAGGCATAGTCATAGCTGGTGTCCTCATCCGCATACGGTGGCCGTTGCCGCTTGCCTGCAGTCCTCTCCTTCTTCTCCAGCTGCTTCTCCTTTTTGCTTCTGGCCGACTTCTTTGCCTCCACGTGTGGTGCAGCACTCGTCGAGCTGGTTGTGGTCGTGGTCTTCGTTGTGCTTGGTCGCCTGGTCGTGGTGCTAGTTGTCGTTGTGGTGGTGCTGCTGGTCAGTTGTGTGGTGCTGTAAGTCGTTGGCCTGCTGGTGGTCTGGGCGGTTGTCTTCGGACTAGATGGCGTTAACTGCGGACTGTACTGAGAATTGTACTGCTGCGACGTCTTCTCCGCCTTGTAGATGTCCGCCCGCAGCTTGTTGATGCTGGCAGCGCCAAAGTTCAGCGACTGAGCCGTCTTGAACAACTCATCCTCGTCGCTGAGATCCGAGTCACGCTCCTTCTGGTAGGCGGACTGCTGCTGGCTCTTCAGATGGCTGTGCGCCTGCTGGAAGCCATGCGGCTGCCTGCTGCTAGCGGGCGGCGCACTCGGCGTCGTTGTGCTCGTCGAGCTGGAGGCTCGAGTGCGCAGAAACTTGAAGCGATTGCGCGGAAACTCATTCTCATATAGCTCCGGATGATACTGGCCATCATCCTCATCCACATTGTAGTACGGATTGGCTGTGGTGGGCAGTGCTCCAGCCACTGTCGATGCCTTCTTCGTGGCACTCTGACTGGGCCGCGGCGTGTGCTGTGCCTGATGGAAGCTCTGCTCGTAGGATTTCTTGTAAGTTGTGGGCTTGAACGTGGTCGGCGTGTAAGAGTCCCTGGCCGCAAGCGTGACCTTCTTCACGGCAGCTGGCAATGGCGCACTGGCTGGTGTGGTGGGATAGCGCAGCTCATCCTCCACATAACGTTCGGTGGTGGCCTTGTACGTGATGCTGCCACGGCTGGTAAACGAACGCGGCTTGGCACTGGGACCAGAGTTAGAGGAGGCCTTGAATGGCGCTGGCTCCTGGCTGCCCACGCGCGACAGTGTCTGCGGCTTGGCGCGCTGATAGTGCGGCTCCAGCTTGTTCTGTGTGGCCTGGAAGGGCTGTGGCTGCTGCACCCTGCCCTTGGGCACATCCACGAACTCATTGTGATTGATGTAGTTGGATTCCTGGGGTCCCAGCTTCTGTTTGCGCGCTGCCACCGTGGGCTTGTGCCGCTTGGTGGTCGCCTTGTCGTAGTCCTGCACATTCTTGCCCGTCAACTTGGTGGAGCTCGATGGCTGCTCCGTGTACCTGGGCGGCGGCGTGCTCTTGTAGCGATAAGCGCCACTGTTCGGGTTGTAGGTGGTGGGTTGGATGCGCTCCTGCGTCTGATAGTCACTCGTGCCAAAGCTGAAGCGACTGGTGATGCTGCTGCTGGGTCTGGGCGTTGTCGTTGTCCTGCTCTGTGGCGTGTAGTCCAAAAAGTCCGTGTTGAATGAGGCATGCAACGTGATCTTCTTCAGCGGTGACTTGCTGGTGCTGCTGCTGCTGCTCGGTGCTGCTGCTGCTGCGGTGCTGCTAGTAAGGCGTTGGCCCCGTGTGGGCGTGACGCGCGACTTGCTGGACGCCTCCGTGGTCTTGCGATTGTAATCGCTGAAATCGTTGGGCTTGGGTCGTCCACCTCCCGCCGATGATGATTCCTCATCGTACTCACGTCCGCCCTGGCGGTTCGAGAAGAAGTGCGAGCTATGGGAACCCTTGAAGATATCATCAAAGTCTTCTGTGGAGTGGCGAGACAAGAGACAAGAGCGTGATTAATTCGTGTAATAAATTTTGAAGATTCCATTGTTTGGCCTTACGCTTCGAGTCATCGTTGTTGTTGCTGCTGCCACCATAATTGTTGTTGTTGTTGTTGCTGTAATAGTTGCGCTCTGTTGTGGATGTCGTGGATGTGGGGGTGCTGGTGGTGGTGCTCGATGTTGTTGGCGTGTAATAGCTGGAAATGGGTCGCTTTGTGGATTGCGTGATCTCCAAATTGGGACTGGAACTGGAGCTGGAACTAGAGCTGGAACCGGTACCGGAGCCACTGCCGTAATTGTGTCGCTGGCGTGACTTTTGTTCGCCGCGGCTCTGCTCCTTAGATCTTCGTACATCACCTGCAAAAATGACACAAAATTAAACCTAATTAAGCCCAAAACTAACTCTGGTCAACGCTTACCTGTTTCGGCACGCTGCAAATGGAAGGTGGCCTCCTCCTCGTTGGCACTCTTACTGTCGCCATCGCGATACAACTCGTTCAGATTGTTGTTGTCGTAGTAGGAGGTGGCCTTGTCGCAGTCCACGTCCGCCCAATTGGCACAGATCTGCAGCTCCTGGTCAAAGGCCGTTGTGTTGGGGCAGAGGAAGCGATAGTCTTGCACCTGTTGGACAAACGGATTAACTCTTCGATGTACGAGCTGCACACAACAGCGAAATCATCAAGCAAACAGCACCACCAGATACAACCAGAGCAAAACATGCAAAATTCAATGTTAGAAATTGTGATACAATTTTTCAATTACAGCCAAAGCATTAGAGCCAAGACCAAGGCAGCAGCAGCAGGCAGTAGCCAGCAGCAGCCACAATTGGAGCTCGCAGCCAAGCCACAAGTCAGGTAATGTAAACTGGCACAAACTAAAGTACACAGCGCGAAAAACTGAGGGGAGTAACTGCCAGGTAATCTGTTTCTTAACTCAAGAAGAATGATGGTGGAATACGCACATAAAACAGCAACAAAAAAAAACAACAACTCTAAACAGCGAGACAAAGTCTTGTAGCAATGAGCTTCGGCACGCACACGCGGTACTCACATACACACACAAATTGTTTTTGCATTCTTGTTCCTTTTCTTGTTTTTCTTTTGTCTTCTTCGCTTGTGACGCGGCGTCGCTTTATGCTTGCGCATAAATACTTAATAATACTTTTCTTCTGCATCTGCAGTTCTGGATATCTGTTAAATGTCTTGCTAAGAGGACTGTTTCGCTGTTTCGCACTCACAATATTAGCTGCTCAAACTGCTTGCCATTTACAGTTTTTTCCCTCAGTGCAAGCTTCGCTCACTTTTGCCTGACGCCACACACATCATCCAATCAGACGCTTCCTTGTGCGGCTATGATAATGCCAGCAGTGGCTTCCATGCCCTCAAGCCAGCTATCAGGTTGCCTGCCACAAACTTTGGCATTTGGCAATCTTCTGCCTCTTGACATTTGCAGTGGCCCCGCGGTCGGGTCCCAGGTGACGCTGCCGAGAGAAGTGAACGTTCTCGTTCTCGCTTTGGTTCTCGACTTCCACACACGCACACACACACACATACGTAGATACACCGTACAGTAGGCTAATTGGCAATCAATTCAAAATCCACATGTATACAAAATAGTGAAAACTAAACAACACACCAAAAACGTACACAGAAAATAAACAAAAAAGAAACTAACACAAAGAATGGTAAGCAAAACGGACTTTAACTTCAACTTAACCTCATAATCCCTCTCTCTCTCTCTCTAGGTAAAAGTCTATCTGTTTAGAAAATTGCCTGCCCTCAGTCAAATGCAGCGTGATGTGTGGCAGGAGGCAGTGTCCGAGGTGGTGGAGCCTGTGCTTGGTGGCCGGACCAGCACCATCATAAACTACGGGGAACGCATGGACTACGGCAGCGACGACTTGGATGTGATGGCGCGCAGCTTTGGGGATTTGTTTCGGCATGTCTACACGCTGGAGCTGACCATGGAGGTCAACATATCCATCAGGCATGTGGAGCTCAATGGAGAGCTGCCAGAGTCCACGGGCGACATGGAGGGGCAGGATCACAGGCCGTCCAAGCAGCACTTTGTGGCAACCAGCGGCGATGTCTATGCGTACATTGAGCGTGTGATGCGTCGCCTGCCACAGAGCCGTGTGCTCTTCACGCTCAATGTGCGGCAAACGAACATCGATCAGTCGCGGAAGGTCTATGGGAAGTTGCAGTTTATTCACTTCAGGAGCGACTCGGGAGACAGCAGCACCTCCATGGGCGCACTGCTGAAGCTCTTCAAGGCTCTGTCGCGCAGTCCCAAGAGTCACATGCGCTACCACAACATAAATCTAACGCGATTGCTGGAGGAGGTGCTGGTCAGTGCCGACAGCACTGTGGTGATCAACTACACAGAGGCTCCTGTATGGAACACAGCGCTGAAGGCGCCGCACAGCACTCCGGAGTCCTCATCCGTTGATGTGTGGAAGGCCAGGTATCGGAAGGAGCACACAAAGTATCAAAGCCTGAAGGACAAGGTGCTGAGCATGGAGCTGTGGACCAGCAGCGAGCAGAAGCTGCAGCTGTACGAGATAATGGACAGCCTGGAGAGCGACTCGGAGGAGTACAGCAGCAGCGACACGACGCTAGAGACGCAGCAGGTCTGCACCGTGTCCACACAGAAACTGCTGCAAATCCGCAGAGAGGCAGAGCTGACAGTCGATGAGCTGCAGGCGCTGCAGTCGCGCGTTGAGCTGCTGGCCATCAAGAACCAACGACAACACCTGGAGCTGCTGAAGCGGCAAGAAATGGTGGGGCAACTCCACGAGGAACTTATCCGTGCCAACGCGGAGCTGCTGCAGCAGAAGTTATCCTTCCAGCAGAAGCTGGAGCAGTACACGGAGCGCTTCAATCAGCTGTGGCGCGAGCAGAGCGAGATGCTGCAGTCCAGGGAGTTGCAACGCAAGCAGCAACTCTCCGAAATGCTCGACAGCTACTGCCAGGAGATGCAGAGCGCCCATCAGCGGCAGTTGGCACAGAAGGAGCGCGAATTGCAGGCTGCACAAAGGCCGTCGCCGTCGCCGCCGCCGTAGCTGTAGTCAAGGAACAGACCAACTTCCAGCATGCAATGCAATAAAGAAAAACGAACACAAAACCCCACACTTAAAGGTCAACCCAAACGATACGATCCGAGCTGAGCAAAAGTCTTCTTCAGGTCTAAGTATCAGCCGGCTGAGGCCCCGCAGTCACGAAGCAGCTCCCAATCACACATTCTCCTGCGCTGTGGCAACTTTTGCCATTTAGCTGGGACTTTGACAGAGAGATAGAGAGACGGGGAAAGATGCAGAGATACTCGAGGCAGCTCTGCCTGCAAGTCTTGAGTTGCCTGCCTCGAGAAGGGGAACTTGAATCTGTGTCTAGAACAACTTCAAGCCCCAAAGGAGCACATAATTTAACTGGCTTAAATGTCATGTCTAAGGCTTCCTTGCAGCTTCTTTGTGGCTTGGCTTAGCTCTTTCTGCCGCTGCTTTTGCCTCAGTCCCAGCCTCGTTGCACTTGCAGAAAGTCTAAACAAAACTTACCCCAATTCCCGGCAGCTTTACGCACACATGAAACATCTGGCACTGCGTCTCGGGGTCCGCATAGTAGCCGCCGAGTATCTTGTCGTGGCAGGTGAACTGCGTCTTGGGCATATTCTGCAGACTGTACGTGGGCCAGGGTCTGCCGAAAGCCAAGTCATCGTCCTCGTCCAGCAGCTGAGCCTGCCCGAAGCTGCTCCAAAGTGTCGCCGCTGTTGTAGCTGCAAAGAAACAGAAACAGAAATCGTGAGTTGGTTTTGCGTCTTCAAATGTAACTTCAAGTAGTGCTAGGAATCTGAAGCTGTAGCTGTGGCTGACCAGTGACCTTCACTCGCAACACTTTCGCTTACATGATGGCAGGCCAGCACCAAACTCGAGACGAGCTCATGATTTATGTGTGTATGCCGGGCCACAAGTGCCTGCCGCCGTCCAGCCAAGGCTGATCCATCAAGCAACCGCCAACATGGTTCAGCGTGTGCCTCTTTTTTATTTATTTTGGCTCCATTTGATTGGTATTTCTGATACCGAGGAGACATCATTAACATTTCCCACAGCGATCTGCGATATATGATCACTCAGCTTGGGTCAATCCAGCTGTCAAATTAGCCACAAAAAAACGAATCTCTGGAGCCACTCTGCCTCCTCTCGAGGGTCGTTCAATTAAAATGCCGCGTCAATCACTTTCGTGTTTGATATTCAAACCAGTGCCAGTTGTCGTACATTAAAAGCTAATTAAAGCCGTGCCTCCGCCCATGTATCATGTCTCGCACTGTCTCGGATTGGCAGCTTCTGCTCTTCAGCGGAAGATGAGCAATTAAAGCCAAATTGTAATTGCATTTTTTCAACTGCAGCTGCAGAACCAACAACCCAGCGGTACGTCTGCCTGCAAATTGCACTCTTGCAGGTTGCATAATCCCCCACCATTCATCATGCCACAGAAACCAGAAGAAAAAAACAGCTAAAGAAAACCTAAAAGTACACAAGCAAAAAGAGAAAACAAAACTATCCAGAAAGACGACGCTGTGCAGCAACCCGTCCAGACTCGACTCTGATTCGCATTTAATTCAAATTCAAATGAATTTCAATTTCAATCTCTTCCCTTCCCCATTGTGTGGCAGTGAACTATGACTGGACTGGACTGACTCCTTTGTTTCCCTGCAGCTTGTTCGATTCCGCTTTCAATTGCTTTTGCTGGGAGGCGAGTGAATCTCTAATTTGTTGTCTGACTGAATCCGAAGAGAGACTCACGCAGCGTTCCCCCGTCAAGCTTCCGTTTTGCCGTTGGGCGTTGTCCCAGACCACACTCAAATCAACCAGCTCCCCGCCCTTTCGCAAAGCTTGGCAAAGATAATTTACAATGTGGTAATTATGCAGATGACCTACTCTTAGGCATAATTGCCATTTCCCAGCCTTCGTCTACGTTTCGCCCATGCTGCTGCTGTGGTAGCCATTTGTTGGCTACCATTTGATTTCGCATCTGATCGATATGAAACCCATTGAATCCCATTAATTTCCTGCGCAACCAATGGGACCTTGAACCAGCGGCAGATCATCATTGCAGACAACCCAACTAATGAGCTTCATGCGAACTTTTTTGTGATCTTTTATGTGCGAATCGATTGTTCATGAATCATTATCAGGGAGAAGGTCGATCAAAGATGCTGCAGATCCACCGCTGATTTAACAAGAAAAAAGTAAACAAAAGACAGAAGGAAAGTTGAGAGTCCAAGCGATAGCTGATCGTGCAGTTGCTTAGCTTTTTCTGTAGCTGCTTATTTTGAGCAGTGATAAATTGTAGATTATGTGTTGAAGATGCAAAACTCTGTCACAAAATCGATGAAAAAAGCAAACTGTAGTGCAGATTTTTGTACCATTTTTTCACTAACATTTTCCAGAACATTTCGGTGTTTTCAGGTGCAAAACTAAGGCAGAAGAACGATAAAGAAGAACCCCCAATTATCGCTGATTTTTGTAACACATTTTCGCTACTTTCTTCCGGATAGTTCGGTGAATTCAAATTCTTATAATTATGTCCTAACAGATGCACAAATCAGGCAACAAATGAATGAAAGAAACCCCAAGATATCCCAGAAATATGTGTAAGCATTTTTCTCCAACATTTTCCAGAACATTTCCTGGTCGTAAAATTCTTAAAAAATAATCCCCTCATTTTGTACTCACCCAAAATGATGGCAAACATTTTATAATCAACACACAACATGTTGGTTTAGGAAGTAATCCAATTCGAGTGTTTCTGTTCCCAAATCCGTATGATAAATGATATCCAAAATGGTTAATCCAAAGCGTTTAAGCTGCTGATTAATGTCGTTTTTCACATGGATCGCACTGCAAAACAAGACAAACCATACATGAGTATGGGCGGGGAAGGGATTTTGATCTGTTTTTAATTTTATTGGATTGCAAAATGCCACAAAATGGATGTTCGTTTCGCCTGCGATTTTCACACAAACTTAACACACCGCACACCTCAGACCACAGAGCTCAGATCATAGCAAAAAGTGTCCGTCATGTAGGAAATGAGTCGGTCGGTTGGTCGGTTGGTCGGTCGGTCGGTCGGTCGGTGTTCGGTTTGGGTTCTTCTTTTCTTGGAGTCTTTGTAAATGCGTAAACGAAAATGTGTTTCGCAAGGTGCGAAAAGTACGGAAGAGCCATTTAGAAGGTGCAGCGAAACGTTGAGAGACGAGTCTGTGGCGTCTGCCTCACTTGACTGGGCAGCAAGAAAGAGCACCGCGTCACAGAGTCACAGCTGCCACTTGCAACAAGGGGGTTGGGGCACAGGTACACCAAAGGTACGAACCGCACGGAGGAGTCAAGACAGGCGGAGACCAGAGCGAGGGCCAAGCGGTGGCGCTGCGATGCGATACGATGCGCGTTTTGTGACTGAATCGTTTACGTTGTCGAAGCGAAATGATTTCGGAAAGCGAAAGGAAAAACCACTTGGAGCTCCCCCAGCTCACAGCGGCAGAGACGCTGGCAGAGGCAGATCTCCGAAGCGAAGCATCTTCGTGCCGCGGAGTCGGCTTGGGGTTTTTGCCTCTTCGTTTTCTCGCTTGTTCTGCGGCTTCTGCTGGTGGTCTGATCTCTGGTTTGGACTGCTCTGGTCTGGTCTGTGCTTAGTGCAGATTACGCATACGCAGCGTGTGACCAAATGACACTTGTCTGCAATTGTGCACAGCGCCTGCTGCCACTGCTGCACTGTCTGCCCCGTTGCACTGCTTAACCGCTAAACTGACTGCACTGCTGCACTGCTTGCACTGCTTTCCCCGCATTACCGCTGCTCTGCCAGGACTGCTCGTCACTCATCATCACTTACGTCAGTCGGCCGCAGGGCCAGCTCATGATTGTGGGCAAGCGCATGCTGGCCGCACTCTCACTCCCACCGCAATTACAGCACGTACCCCTCATCCCCACTCCCTCTTAGTTCATGTAGCACAGCGCCTGGTCTCTTGGGTTGCATCTTCCGCTGGGTATTATGTCATAGTCATGGCGGGGCTTTGTCATTTGGCTGGCCCATCTGCTGTGGCTGCCTCTTGCCGCTGCCACAGCGGCTGCCATGTCGCGGGGGCCAAAAGTCGCGATGCCACCAACAATCCGGTTATGTCTATATGGGTGAGTGTGGCACAGTGTGCGCGGGGGCAATGTGGCGGCATTTTGCTTTTGCAGTGTGGGAATTTGCACGCCTGCAGATTTTTTTTAGCTAAGATCTCAGTGGTGCATCTGTGGTGCATCTTTTTGGGGCGTTGCTGCCAGATCTGAGCAGAGATTCTTCATATTTCCCTTAAAGGCGAGCAACAACCTCAAGCTGTCAACTGGAACTGGCTAGCAGGGAAACTGCCAAACTGGCAGCTTGGCATTTCAAAGTTGAGGTTGCCTGCCGGAAACGAGGAGCCAGCAGGGCAGAGGCAAAGGCAAAAGGAAGAGGCTAAGGCTAAGGCAGAGGCTGGGGCTGGGGCAAAGTCATGCAAAGCAGCTGCCAGTTTGTGCCACAAAAAATGTCAACTTAGGTTGCTGGATAAAAAGTGAAACCAAAACGGAGGACGAGCCTGGGATGACTTTCAACCTGGCAGCAACATTCACCCGAAAACTTTGTGGGAAGTGGCATATGGCAGAGGCAGAGCTGGAGCCATTTTTCTAATTCACTGCTGATTGTGCGATTGTGCAAGAGATGGCAAAGAGGAGTACCAGTGCCAGTCCTCCTAAAACTCCTAATAAATGCACAGCTTATGCTCCTATGACTCACGCGATGTGCCTGCCTGTCTGCCCTCTGCGTGGGAAAGGCCAACAATAAGGAAGTGCCTCAACCCAAGTGTTCAAAGATGACTCTAAACTCTAAACGCTAGACACGAACTCAAAGGCGAAGGCAACAGTCTGCTGTCTGCTGTCTGGTGTCGGCTTTGTGGCATTACACAGCATCTAAGCGGATTTTGATTCTAATTAGTTGGACCGCCTTCAATTAAATACACATCACAACAGTTCGATGTGGCCTCCCGCCCGCCATGACATTGATAAATGTGTTCACGAGTTTCGGCGTTTCAACTACAAGACATCAGCCATCAAGCTGCTGTCGCGGCTCGTTAAGAATCCGTTTGTGAGTTAAATTATTTAATTTTTACTCATTATGTAAGGCTTTGCCAGCTGGCAGCTGAATGCTTGTTGTCTTTTGCTGCTGCTGGTGTAGTAAAAGTGCCGAAAGCATTTGCACATCGTGTGGGAGCGAATGGTAAATGCATTCACCAGCAGCACCAGAAGCACCAGCAGCAACAACTGCAGTCTGCAGCAGCAAACCAAAAATTCAATTAAGCTGAAGATGCGCCTGAGCAGACTCCCGTCTGAGCTGCTCTTTCTCTCTCTCTTCAGCAGAGTTTTTGGTCTGGCATTTTGGTGGCATGCCAAAATCCAGGCAGAAGCTAAAGCAGAAGCAAAAGTCGGAGGCAACCACTAACGAGTCGCGAGGATTGCGATTGGGTTTGCAGCGGGAATTGGAATTGCAGAAGGCGCAGGCAGAGGGGAGGCAGCGGGGAGGCCATCCCAGGTCGTTGAGTAATTGTGCAGCAATGAGCATGGTGGCTGCCAGCAGATTTTCCCGTTGATAAAGTGCAAACCAACACTCGGAAAACCTTTTTGCCAGCCAGCCGCCGCTCATAATAAGAAATTGCATGCTGCAAATATGTATACATAACTGTTTACATATGTACATAACTCTTTACATACTTCGCACATTGTGTACATATGGCTTTTGGGATTCCAAAATTCATATTGGCAGGCTGCTGCACGTGGCAAAACGCAGATGGAGAGGCAGACGAAGCGGCCACAGCTGTGCAATTTGCAGTTTTTATGGATGCCACGCTGCTTGCGAAACCCGAAAGTTAATCTTTTTTTTTGCGGGATTTTGGGATTGGGTCAGTCAGTCAGTCAGTCAGTCGGTGGGTTTATCTGTCAATCGGTGAGTGGTCTGCCTGCCTGGCTAATTTGACGCTAATTTGAATAAAAATCCAGCGAGACGAAACGCATAAAAATACTCAATAAAATTGAAAGACTTGAGCAACGAACGCGTTTATTGGCTTACGATGATTACGGGTAGAGCAGTGGAATGCTTTTTTACTGGGAGTTTGGATGCAAAAGAGAACTTCGATTGGGTGTGGGGAAGGGGTGGAATGAATTTGATTCTGCGCTCCAAAGATGGTTCTTGTCTTTACTAAAGTTATTTATTCACCACGGAACACGGAATTTTATGTTGACAAAACTGAGGATAATATCTGAAAACTTCTTCATCGATCTGTTAAAAGTGAAATAACAAATAACTGAGGACCGAAGTAACTTTTATTTTCTTGTAGATTGAAAGCAATTTAATCATTATTTTTCCGGTTTCAACTATGGTAGAAGAAAGAAGGTAAAAGTATGCTTAAATGTTATTTGGTACCTTTTCAGTTGTCTTGCGCCTAAAGCCTATATTTGTGGAGCCATTCGTAGCTCTGTGATGAGCTACACAGAAACGTGTTTAATTTATGATGTTTATGACATGCAAACCCTCTGCACTTAACCTTTATTAAGCTTAATCAAAAGAGTATTAATTAAATAATCAAAGGCAAAGGTAAACTTAACTAAGTGCACAGCATACACCCGCTCTTAGATCATTCACTAGGCGAAGCCAACATTTTATTTATTGAACATTCCATTAGGTAGATGAAAGACTTAATCCACCTTAATCCACAACCAACGCTAGTCGGCGCATTCAAGCATTCTAAATTGCATTTTGTGGCACTCGTGGACTAGCCTCACTCTGCCAACACATAAATTTGCATAAAATGTGCATTAGCCGCCCACCCCCGCTGAGGCAACGGCCTCGCCATCTCCAGCAGTACAAGTACCAGCAGCAGAGGCAGCATCAGCATAAGCAGCCAGCATCATCATTATCACCAAACACCAACAGCCTCATCGCAACCCATGGCTGGGCCACAGCCACGCCGGTCTGTGCCACACCAAGGCGCAACTTGTGCCGAAATCTGCACGACGAAACGTGAGAAAATGTTATAGACAGTTGGCAGTCTGCCAGTTGCTAAGCCACACAGACACACATAGACACATGCATAGATACATCTATGTACCTATGGTTGTAGCGAAATAAAAACTAAATAATAAAAAATATTTGGTAAATTATGGGAATGAATGAGACGAAACGGTGCACACCATCGATGGTGGAGGTGGTTACGGCCAGCAAAGAATTCACCAGATGCAGATGCAGATGCTGCACCAAGAGTAGGTTTTTTTTTTAGCTGTGTGTTGGTACTTACTGCCTGTATCTGTGACTAATTGCATTTGCCCATACAAATGCACTTTTTTCGTAATTATTTTGCTGGAATATGTGTGAATTATTATGCAGTCAGGGTTCGTTCCATTGTAATCATGTTAATGAGCTTACGGCTTGAATCTTGGATCTAAGACTAAGGCACCGACATTGTTCGTGGCTGGCAACAAAAAAGAAGAAGAAGAATACAATTCTGAGTCGCCAAATGCCAAATGCCAGTGCCACAGCGCAGCCAGCTAAGCACGGCTAATAGCCGCTAATGCTGACCAGGATGCTAGACTTTAAGTTAACCTAAAATTATGCGCATTTTTCAAGACAACTTTTATTTTATGGTAATTCAATTAGACGGCATCTTTTGTCACCCATCACCCACCAGCAGCGCCACCGGCAACATAACCTCACAGCAATAGCAAAATAAACCCAACAGCAGCAGCAGCAACATAAACCCAACAGCAGCGGCAACATTGCCTTTTGCCTGAACTCTGCCCAAGCCCGGAGTCTTCTTCATCTTTGCAGGGAAAAAACGGTTTTTGAGGAGCGCCACTTGCTGGTCGTTTGTTTGCCAAAAAAAAAAAGAAAACCAACAAATAACACGACAACCCAGAGACAACACCGAGACAGCAGCAACAGACAACAGCAGCGGCAGCAACATTTTGGCTCTTTGCTGATTTATGCGTTTTGCAGCATTTAAATTGGCATTTATGTCAAACTGCGGTAAGGGTAAGTAATATTTTTGTTTAATACAATTCGCTTTATTTGTTTTATAACCCAGCGTCCTTGGGCATTGTCCGCTTCGACACTTTTCCAGCCCCAGACCCCAAAAAAAGCTGATGAGAGATCTCTTTCCCATGGCTGCCAAGAAGATGATGATGAATCCAATGATGGTGATGCTTGTGATGTTGCTTCTGCTGTTTACATTCGCTTTCAGTTTTATTGAGTTTTTGTTAAACAAATTGTTTAATTGTTCCACAATAACTTACGTATAGGTAAAGGTAGGTTATACATGCCCCCCATGGCTGCATGTTTTGTCAAGCTGCAAACTCCGTTTTGGTGGCACAAAATATTGCCAACTGAACTTTGTGCTGCTAACATTTTCTGGCTGCAATGTTGCGACTTCCTCAACTCCTCAAATTCGAAATGAATAAAAAACGAATCGAAGAGTGGAAATTGTCGAAGCTGCTAGATGCCTAGATGCTCTACTCGTACTATAACTTAGCAATTGGCCGATCCGCTCACCAAATGGCTGCAAGATATGGTGGCAGCAGCAGCAGCAGCAGCAACCAGTGGCCTTGGAGCAGGCTGAGAATGTTGCAGCAGCAGATGCAACAGCAACAGCAGCTTCCACTTCCACTTTGACGATATGTTGCTTGAATCTTTCGAAAGCTGCCAAATCCGTTCGGCTTTCAATGGCTGTTACAGTTATAGTGTGTGTATGTTGTTGTTTTTTTTTTCTTCTTCTTTTTCTAGTTTATGTGAAAAATCTCAGCAGCAGCAGCGGCAGCGGGAGCAGCTGACGGCAGAGGCAGCAGCTGATGGTTACCCAATAGACATCTAGCAAAAAGCAAATGTGTTGGCGTAATTAATTAAACAAATTATGTGCATTGCGCGAACGCATTTGACGTTTTTGGTGCAACAGTGGAGGCTTCAGCTTAAGGGGGCATTCAAGTTGATTGCAATTTTTATTAATTTCACTTAGCGGTGGGAATGCAATGGTGCTATAAAAAGTGCATCAGCAGCAGCGGCAGTGCACTGCCAGCAACAGCAACAACCACACACACATATGGTCAACAGTGATTACAATTGCAGCAGTAAACATTTTGCAATGTGACTTTTACGTGCTGGCTCCTTATGGGCACACCTGGCCACCAGCTTCCAGCTCCTTGGGCCAGACCATGCCACTTGACTGCGACTCCGACGACTCTTTGTGTACTTTGTGCCATTTTGGGCGAACAAATTCTTCAATTCTTTTAGCTGTCTCTGCAGCTGTCCAGACTGCAATCCACAAATACATACACATCCACATCGCTGCTGCAATCGCCTCGAGTGCCTTGTCATTTATTGTTTGGAAAAATGCAATCAATTATTAATTACACGCCTTGTTGCAGCGATTGTGAGCAGACTGCTCCTCAGACCCAACAATAGTGCAACATCTTCATGGTGCCTCCTCCTCGATGCCGGCCTGCCACATTTTCCACTTTGACCAACTCATTTAATCTGGCAAAGTGTTTGGAAATACTTAACAACCGCATCAAAATTAGTTTCGTTATTGTGTTAGCCTTCGGGCTCATCTCTGCTGACCTCTCGTGTGCACTCCAACTCCAACTGAATTGATTTTTGACGTGCGTGCGGTTTGCCGTAACGTGTGGGAAAATGTGTTTTTAAAGGCAATTCTGTGGCTAGCTAATGGGCCATCTATTCCGGAAATGCAGATGACAGCAATTGCAGGCCAAAGGGTTAGCTTCGGTTTCGGTTTCAATTTCGCTTCTCGTATCCGCCATATGCTGTCGCCTGCGACGAGGCAACGCCACAACAATGGCACCAAAACCATGACACAAAGCCACTTGGCAAGTTGGCGGCATTTGGCGATCGCTAAAAGTCACATTGTTGACCTTTTTGCGGTCTTGGGGCTGTGTAGTTGAAGCTCCGGCTGGAGCTCTCTCAGCCTCAGCCTCGCACATTGGAGAAAAGGTTTTCTGTCTCCCCCACCTGCCTTCTCGACAAACAAGCGCGGCTCATTAAAATAATATTTAACCTTTGAATAAGAGACAAATACTTGTTGAATATCTACGGGGACGAGTACGAGTGCGGCGGAGTTTCGGCTCGGTTATGTCTTTGTCTGTCCAACGAGAGCCAACGAGCCGTGAGCAATTAAAAATTAACTATTTACTTTTAATGTGCAAAGCCCAAGCCCCAAACCCCGCCTCTGCATCAGCCGCACATTTACCAATTGAATTCCATGTTTAACGAGTTTTGACAGCCACAGCATTTGCTTCTTTTTATCCCCCTCCCCTACACATCATTTGTATACATTTGGAATTGCAATTGACAAGACCATGGTGAAATTACTTACACTCTCTTTCGGGCAACACTACTCTCTATCCCTTTCTAACGCTTGTCTTCTTGAGCGTGGTGAATCAGGACAACGTCACCTTGTTTGTAATTTCACCAACAAGAAACGGCAAGGGGTTTAATTCTGTTTACAGTTAATCAAAAAAATCTCAAGTCTACCTACTTATATATACATGGCAGAAAGAGCATTGCTGCTTTGGCTTTAAATGTGTTTAAGGGGTTTCCTTTTCTTGTCTGCGTCTGAACCTGACCTATCCGCTACGTTCACACGCTGCGCT